GCAAAGGCCTGTAATTTCTATCAAAGGACTAATACGACCAAAAAAGCCGTTCCCCAAGAATAAGCCTGATAACTATTCTGAGTTCAGACCGGCCCAAGCTAGTGAACCACAAACCAACAAAAAAAAACAAGGAAAATTCTACGGATATATTTAGAGATGTGTCGTCATTAAGCGTGATGGACAAGCGACGGTGCATGCAACAGAACTTGATCTCTTGAAGTCAACAATTGCGTAGGTCCAATAAGTCTGAAAGAAAAATAATAAGAATCGGTACATGAGGACAATATGAAAATACTACATATTCCAACCGGCCCAATGGTAAAGAAGCAAATTACGTTCCCAAGTCGTTGAATGGACACACTTGCGATGTACACACGACGAGAAAAAATAAGTGCTCAACATCCAGTTTATTTTCCAAATTTTTAAATAATGTTAGGGGGTCGTCCACCACAGGTTTCCTCTTGATACAACAGACCGCTTCTTATATTTGCATCAAGAAAGGCTGTCAATTTACGCAACTTATTCAAAATAGAGCATTGAAGAGTGTAATCAATCCATTTTGGTATAAAACTATGGACAAATCGTCATTGCATATCAACATAGACCGACCATAGATGTCCAATTACTTGAGACGATCACCTAACCAAGTCTAACATAATATTCAACCTTCTGAGTTCGCGGCAGCAACTGGACAAAATCAGTAAAGATGGTATTCGGGTGCTCAGTTATGCGTTGATACTACTTCACTATGGCTTCTTTTACCACTTCGGCGAAGTATGGTATATTTTGTTCACGGTGAATATACCAAGGCGCATATGTGATAATCCGCAGAACTTGATTTCGGTGGCCTTAGAGTCTTTTTAAACTTGCAGACCCCAGGAAAGGTGGTGCATACTCACATATTACCAATTGGGACGGAAAAGTGATAGCTAACAACTTCTGTTGAAGAATGAAAGTGACGAATTCTTGTAAACAATGGGTTTCAGAAGACGGTTTCGCCCCAAATTTAATTAGAAAATGATTTATTGAGATCACTGATGTTTTGAATATGTCTATCTTTTATCGAGTGTGACCCTAAATATTTGAAGGAATCAACTTAGGTCCGCATCCATGACTATCGGTGTCGTTTCACGTCATCTGCGATAGACGAATGCAACTAGGGTAGACTTTTGGGGATTTACTTTCATACGCCAGTTTGATTCCAGTCAGCAATTTTGTTAACAAGATTTTGGGATTGCTTAGAAGCTGTTAGACTTAGAATGGCAAGATCGACTGCAAAAATGATTGTCGTTGTCAAGTTAGATTTGGGGATGCACGGATAGCACGAATTAAAAAGCGCCCAGATGCTTTCCTGAGGAACCCGACTCGGCTAGATCTTGTTACCGAAGTGACGCCGTCGTGTATGATGCTATAAGTTCTATTGCTAAGATATGATTTCACAAATCTGCCAGTTCCTCTTTAATTTTGAACAGAAGTCCAGAATGTCAGACACTATCAAAGGCTTGGTGCGTGTTAACAAATAGATTTGTTTCTTTTGTGTTTTAAAATTGTGTTAATTACTCTATGAAGCTGTAGTTGGCATTAATGCTGAGGACGGAAACAAATTGGGAATATTTTGTGATAAATAGTGTAGAAGTTTTGGCAGCATAGTCTTTCAAAAATTTTTGAGAGGTAATAGTCTGATGGGGCGGTAGCTTTTAGGAAACTTGGCAAGTTTAGTAGGTTTGTAGATTAATCATAAATAGGATGTTAAAAAATCTGTTTCATATTCAGTTACTTATTGAATTAACCCTACGTAAAAACAATTTTTATAGCACAAATACATAAACACAAGTTCTTTGAATAAAAGTCCTAATCTGCAATATTTAAAATTTTAATAACTAATTTTTATAGGAGGGGGGCGCAACGGTTAAGGCGTTGACACGGCGCTCATCACGGCAAGGTAAAAGTCCAAGGTTCGAAACCAGCGGCCCGTACCCGACATACTTACAAATGTTTGTTTTTGTCGAAAATCCGGCTCCCTGAGGGTTGAAATGATCTCTGCTGTTACGAACCCTCATAAAAAATAAATAAATAAATAAATTTTCCTTTTTGTAATGAAAATAGATTGTAAAAACCTATATAATATATTACATCTGAAGTATTAATTTTCTAGTACAATAATTAAATTAAGGTTATCGGTGTAAATAATTAGCTGCGGTTATGCATAGCCGAGAAAAGCCCGAAGCATAACAGCCTGGAGGGGATGGCATTCCTCGCTCACTTAATTATTAACACTAGAAAAACTAGTCCCAGATAAATGGGGTATTTTCTCAACGGCAACACTTTATTTTACAAATCAGACTTGCATAGATGCCCGTTTCTAGCTTCTAACGGCTCCGGGAATCCAGCCGGTTAATCGGAGTAAACTTTTAAACGCCTTCACGATTTTTGTCTTGGTAAATTAATCGTTTGCTGATGGGTTAAAGGAAAAATTATATACTTTCCAATATTATCTAGTTCGGATAAAAACCACTGAAGAAGGTAGTGAAACTCGTCCGATGAAGTTGATCAAGTTGTTACAATTGTTCTTTGGCATACAATTAACTGCATGGCTATATTATAACAATAAATAGTAATTATCGACAATTATTGTAGATTTAGTTGGAACAGTACTGCTATTTCGCCAAACGAGCCAATGTTGGTCGGTCCCCTCACACAGCCTTGTGGCACTACATTTTTTTTCTGCTTCACTGAAGTACGTTCTTGGACAGAGAAAAGTTAAGATAAAATTACTCTGTATTGTGTTTGGCATTAGGTGCTTTATTTTGGCCACAAATCCAAACAAAACTTTAAAACTAAAAACTTCATTTTCATAAAAGTGGGCCAACTCCAATTGTCCTGACCTTTCTCGGCCAATGGATGAGAATGGCTATCGAATGCGGGAGCCGTTGAGCCCTTACCATATTTTATGGGCCGCAGGGCACGCGCTTCAGACAAATGGGTCGCCGCGCCGACTCTCATAAACCATCTTCGGCAGGAAGTCTGGCTCGACTGGTTTTAGTGTTTTGGGTTACGCCCGAAGCACCAATAGAACGACATAGTGAATTTTGGGACTCTACACCCGAAAAAATTTAGTTGCCGTCCCATGCACCTCTTCACCAATACAAGTGTTGCACGTGATCTCATGCAATATGGTAATTTTTAAACTTCTACTGAAGTTTGTTTTACAAGTGTGGCTACAAGAGGGACCATTCACTAACATGTAGTAAACCATGATTTTGTTGTTTTCCCTCAATCCCGATTCCCCCCTAAGTAGCGAGAAAAGGATTGTGATGTCAGCTCTGCTTTTGACCACTGTAATTTTAATATGGTCTCTCTCTTGGCCAAGCAAACCATGTCACACTTGATCTTAACTTTTCAACATTGAGGAAACTCCATTGATGATCGATTTGTGTTCATATAGCCTTAGTATTTCGTCAACGATCGACGGAGCTGACGTGGGTAAGAATGCAGACTTCAAAATCCGTATTACGTAGTAGGGAGATATTCGATGTGTTGGAGGATTTCGAATTGATTGTTTTCACCTTTTGTGAAAAATCTGAGGAGTGGCAGACAAGTTCTGCATTGTATAACTGCTGAGATCAAATGAATGATTGGCATACTTATCTAGAACTGCCACTACCCTAGTGGTAGGTGTAAATTGCATAATTTTTAAAATATATTTTTAGTTTTCCTTTCCTCTTGTCTATTTAGTTGCGTGTTAGGTAAACACAAGTTTGATGATTGATAACTGCCCAGTGCACACGGTACTGGGTGTTCTTCTTCCTATAAAACTGATAGTTGCAAGCTGATGTATTTAAAATGAGATTTAATTATCCTCCGTTCACTAGCACTAGCAATTTTTATATTGGATAAACTGCTTGCGAAATAACTGTCCCTTCCAAGTATACAGAGATAATGAGACCTTGGGAAAGAAAGGTAACCCCAAGTTTCAGGAAGAGGCCTTAGTATAGTATGCAGGCGGATCAAAACAGGGTAGGCATAGGGGTAAAAGGGCTTAACTATACCCTAGCAAAGCCCCTTGTTCAAATCCAAGCAATTGTCAAAACTAAAGTCCATGCAGTACACATATGAGTTAAAAAAGAAAACTGAAAGAAACACAGATTTACATTTGCTCAGGCAGCTAATTTAGACACTAAATGAGTATGCTTTCAACTCCAATTTTGACTGGGAGTACCTAGACTCTGGGAAAACAGGATTACCATAAAGAGGGTTCCAGGACATGAAGGTATAGGAAACAGGCATACTAACTAGACAAAAAAAGGAATAGCCTTCTCACCCATGGGACCACAACCACAACTAGGTCCACTGGGACTAGAAAAATACCTTTAGAAAGAAAAATTCAAACTCAGTACAAAAGCACCAGGTATGAAGCAAGCCAAGATTTGTAAATCTCAACAAAGGAAGGCAAAGGAACTCTTATTCATTCATTACTACTTCATACTCTCTCTCACTCATATCCCTCTCTCTCACATTCCTTCACTCATACTCCTCTCTCTCACACTCATTATTACTTCCTCTTTTTCATTCACTCCTCTTCTCTCTCTCTCTTTCACACTGATTCATTCATTTTCTCTCTCGTTCACTCCTACACCTCTCACTCTTGCCCTCATCATTCACTCCTACCCTCTCTCTTACTCATTTTCTCTATTCATTCACTCCTCTTCTCTCTCTCTCAAAAATACTCTCTCCCACTCGTTCATTCAAACATTCACTCATATTCCTTTCTCTCATTCATTCATACTTCTCTCTCATTTATTTATAATACATACTCTCACTTTCTCTCTCTCTCTCTCTCTCTCTCTCTCTCTCTCTCTCTCTCTCATTCATTCACTCATAGTCTCTCTCACACTCTCTCTCTCTCTCATACTCCTCCTTTCTCGCTCACTCTTTTTCTTGTTTTGATTTTCCAGTTTTGAGTAGAGAAAAGAAGTGGCCATGGTATAGAAAAACTAGAGTAAATAGTAATATAAAAAAATATTTATTTACAAAACTAAACAATTGTATACTGCATATAACCAATATTTGAGTATTATTCCAAAATTTCAGTATGTTGTATGAGAAATGATGAGCTCTTTAAGCTCTGTTCTAATACAAACAAAATGCCTTTTGAATTCCAATCCACAGCCTCTTGACAGCCGAAAATCAAGTAGTGTTCCAAATGGTGTTTCAATTATATTCACTTTGAATATCAATTGGGCTTTCCTCCTGTCTACTGTGTTGACTGTGATCTGAAGAAAATTAAGAGTTATCATTGTTGAATTGCAGCGACTATTTTATAAAACTTACAAGATTTTTTGTGGTGGGTTTCCAAGCTAGGGCAAGTTTTTCAAGTGTAGTTGTCAGCTCTAATGTGGCCTCAGATAAACCCCCATTGACCATGAAACGGGTCATCCTCCTCACCAACTTCTGTAGACAGTTCTGTACAAAAGAAGATTTGTCAGACGGACAGTTTTATATATGTCTGTCCATTTTTACCTGAGGAGAAGGAGACTGCGTATTAATCAATTGCGTGGATAATAGCATGTTCTGAATCGAGGTTGGTTGAGAGAGAAACATCGAGATTTCGACGTCACTTTCATTCTTCAAGACCGCCAAATCCTGGGAGAAGCTTACCAACTTACATTCCGGTTTGACTTCGTCTTTCTTCAACATCTTACTACTCTTCCTATTTTCTCCTAGAAAATAGTTTACCTTTCAGACTAATTCATGCAATTTTTTTTGTATATGGTTGTAAATGAGACTTTTTCTTTAGCTTCATACATAAACAAATAAGCACATGAACTTGAAACCTAATGGCAGCTTTACATTTTTTTCCCATTTAATATTTAACAAAGAACAAACAAAAATTGATTTAACTACTCCACAAAAAATTTAAATATATTTTATAGACAAATGAAATTAATTGGCAATGGGGAACATGACATGCATAAATCAACATACAATGATATAAATATAAAATATCTTGAAATCTATCATCTATTAGACTAAAAAAGAATAAACAAAATGAAAGAAGAGGTTAATGTAATTGTTTATATCACAATAGCTTAAATCCAAAAGGTACTTACACCTTGCAGGCTGTGTTCGAAGCTTATCCTGTTTTCCTGACTTCGGTAATCTAGCTTTATGATATACCAAATGGGAAAGGTCATACAGCTTAGATCACCAAAGAGAGGACAACAGTAGCTGTCGCAGACTGCAGACTCCTGGTGGGGTGCTCAGGCCGAAGTCGATGCTTTGGTAATTTAGCTTTATGGCGTAATACAACTCATACAGCTGTCTTACCAAAGCAACGCCAGCAGCAAGAAGGATGATCTTCTAGGTGAATATTGGCGCAGCCCCGGCCAGGTACTTAGTGCCTACCGAGAAACCCATGTCTCAGAGTCACTCAGTACCTGACCACGACACACGCCTGCCAATGTGAACTGTCTCTTATAAAACTTCATAAATTAAGGTATAATTTCATTTTACATTTTTTTAACAGTATTATAACACTTGCAGATACATATTACATACATCTTTAAAAACTAATGTGATATTTAGAATTTTAAACGAACCTTTGGAACTTTGTGTGAACCAACGGTTATTCCGGATCTGGGCAATTGTGTACCTGGAGGAAGGCGAGGCGGCGAGGATATGCCGCAGGAGAGAGAGTGGGAGGGTGTCCAGCTTGGTCCAGGGCGAATGATTCGTATAATCGCCCTTCAGCCACATCTGATAGTCAACACAGTCGACATCCGCTTTGTCCCAAGGGAGCTCTACATCGCTCGACCACAAATAGAAAAAGAGGCAAAAGGAAAAAGAAACAAAGTTAAAAACAAAGCAAAAACCAGGTTAATTGTGCAAAAATGTATTCAGTTATAAAATAAAAAATGTTTTTGGCTCAATATTAACATACACATAAAATAAATAATTTCATGCAAAGCAAGGTTAAGATGAAAAATTAGTGCCACAAGTGGGATTTTCAAACTTCTGGATTGATATCAGTCCCACTCGTCATGCCAATTTTTCATCTCGACCTTACTTTGTATAAAAGAATTAATTAATTAAAAATAATACAGTACGGTTAGTTAAGATGATAAAATAAAATAACTTATTTAAACTAAAACTAAAAAAAAAAGTTAAAACAAACCAAAAATATACTACAAATAAAACAATATTTGTTATTCTTCTTGAAAAAAATTACTATTGCAATTTATAAAACACCTCTAAAAGTTTTTAAATTGTTTTAAATACACTTTGCAAGTATCGTACATAATTTCCGTTATACTCAAAATGCTTATAATGCTAAAAACAAATATTGCCTTTTAACATTTTATCAAAGTAGATTAATAATCAATGAACATTGTATTCAGCTCATTTGGACAAAACGATTTATCATGAAAAAAATCAATAAATTTGTTTTTGGTTATTTCACTCTGTGTTTTAATATTTCTCCCTCAACAGGAACATTTTTTGCACATTTTTGTTTAGTGATGAAACATTTAAAACAATTCAGATTCTTTAACAAATAACTTAAAATGTAAACAAAATTAATAATAATTAATTTTTTTACGTGTGGAAGTTTAAATTTTTATGAATGTTGTACAAAAAATAAACTAAAATTAAATAAGGAAATAAAATAAACGTGTTTCATTAGAGACCACCATGAGTTTGGTATAATAGCTTTAGGACGCATAAACCATGCCTACAGCTAGGATACCAAAGACAAGGGAGCCTCCAAATCTTCTTGTGCTTCACAGTTGACCAAAAATAAAATAAACGAACTAAAATGAAAAATATACTGAAAAAATTTATTGTAACAAAAGAGACGAGCCAAAATCATTTTGTTTATTAATATCTTTTACTTCATCAATAAGAATATGGGCGATATTGAATTGAATTTAATTAATTTAGGTAAAATTACCTCCGGCTAGCATGGCCACTAAGACAATGCCGCATGACCACACATCAGCAGGCTGTGCAGCATAAGGCCGGTGAAGAACTTCTGGAGCAACATAGGGTAGGGTACCACATTTTTTGTCCAGAGGACGCTCCTGAAACATACCAGTTCCTTTTTTGAATTATAATTGTAATCAGGTATGGATTTTCTAATATTTCATCAATCATTTAAAAAAATTAACATTGAATAGTTTGATTGTGAAAAAAAAATATAACTTGATAAATTTGTGGTCACTATTTGTGTTACTAGTTTAAAAACAGTTCCACTAGGACAAGCTGAAAAATTTTAAATGAGAGAAATAACCAAAACAAAAGTTCAATTAAGGGTTGGGATTATTTTAATCTGATAACATTGGGGTTCATGTACTATTGGCTTACCTTTCCATGGGAACGAAAGAGAGTAGCCAGGCCGAAATCTGAGATTTTCAAGTTGTCTTTCTCGTCCAACAAGAGGTTTTCCGGTTTAATATCTCTATGAGCAATCCCTCTGCTATGCAAATACTCCTATTTACAAAATATTGAATGTAATTTGTATTAAAAAAAAAGAAAAGAAAACCTGACATACCACACCATTGAGCAGCTGCATCATGAATTTCTGAGCATCATTTGTCGACATACCGACATCAGGCTCGATCCTATCAAAGAGCTCTCCATGTGGCGCATATTCCATGAAGATGTAATCAATGCCGTTTTCAGAACGGTTGCCATAGAACCGAATAATGTGTGGGCTTTTGAGGATTTTGTGTATCCCAATTTCTTTCAGAACAGCTCTCCTAATCTCAGGATCTAATGACGAGTTTATCACCTTCATTGCTACATTCTCGCCTGTGCTTTTGTTTGTAACAAGCTTCACTCTGCAAGAAACTACGTTAAAAGTTTTGGCCAGGATGAATTGGTAAAGTGTCGACTTACTCTCCGTACGCCCCTTCTCCCAAGGTTTGGGTGATAACCCAGTTTTCTACAAAATCCATTGTGTGAATTGATCCTTTCACATTGAATGTAATTCCTACAAAAGAAACATAAAGACATGTAAAAACAATTTCTCAACAGAACAATGAAATTCAGATATCAAAACGACAAACGTTTTCCAAGCAGCCAAAATAAAAAAATATGTTCCAAAGAAATAAATAATGCTGATTTTTACATGTAAGTTTTGTTTTCCTATTTTATTACTCAATTTATCTTTGTTTATGTGTTATTAGAAACCCTTAAAGGTCCATTCAACAGACCTCACACCATCCATAGTTGTCACTTGATTTTGTATGAAGTATAAATAACATTAAACTAAACCATAATCACTTTATGAAGTAAGTACTATTCAAACTTCAAACCATAATCACTCTATGAAGTAAGTACTATTCAAACTTCGAAGACAAACAGCCATAGTCATTAGATGTTTGTAATAAATTATTTAATAAAAGAAAAAGGACCTGTAATTTGGATTCATTATACCTTATACGAGAATCAACCTTAAATTCCATAATAATTTTAAAGTGCCTCCATTTTGAAACCTTAAAATTTTAGAATTAAATCTAAGTAGTTTTCTAAAGTCAAACTATAAAAGAACCCAACATAATATTTCAGATGAAAAAATTTTTTGGGAGGGTGGGGAGTTGTTTTGATAATCAATATTGGAAAAACCCACAGGTTCAAAACTAAAAAGGAGAAAGTTATTTTTAAATTGACAAATAACAATTATAATAACATTATGGGCATTGAATTTCAATAATGACATATCCATTTTAGCCTCCAATAATAGAATAACTCAAAGATCAACTTAAAATAAGATGAAACTTTTTGAAAAAAACAACTAATTAAAATATTTATTTTTGTGCTATGACATAAAACGCCACTGATAATCACAATTTTCATTGCATTAGTCCAAGCCTTCAAAACCATTCTTGGAATTGAATCAAGGGAAAAATATTTGTTAAAGCTGATTTGATTCTAGCAACACTTATGCCATAACCAATTCGCCTAAACTGGCTAAATTTCATCCAATATTTGAAATAAGTCACAATTTCTGGACTCGGTTCTATGGTCTGGCCTTAATCAAAATGAATACAAATGTAGAGTAGCTTATTCTTATTTTATTGTTTTTATTCAAATAATAAAAACAATTACCACATAAGTACATTTTATTATTTGATTGTCATATCATGGAAATTATGAATTGTTGAAATATCATCATTTTAAAAAATTTCAGCTATTTCTATTTTCATCCAGATTGTATTTCTAAAAGAAGACCATTGTCGCAACATAACATAAATTGTATTTCGAGTTTTTCATGAAATTTATATTCCTACTTTCATCCAGATCCCTTGCTTCTGCATGTATCATCGACTGCACTTTCTAGTAGTCTCTATTGTAGTAATAACTAATACGTTTGTTGTTACCAATGTTAAGAATTAAAAATATTGCGTTAAGGTATTCTTTTTTAAGTGAAAATTTTTGATTGTTTTGATCAAACATTTGACATTTTGCCATTTTCATTGGTGAGTTTGTGATTTTCAAACTTAGCTGCGGACATTATTGAGAATTTAACACAGAACCACTGAATTGGCTAAATGCACTGTCTGACATAAAACAGCACATGTAATTGGCCTAGGATGGTCAGAAACAATATTGGCGAGGAAATTATTGCACATAACAGACCATGTTGGCAAACTTCAGATAAAGCTTTAGTTAGAAAACAACTTGAATCTCCTGGATCACTGGATATTCATTCACCATTCAATTCTAACTATAATTTCCATTTCAGAATAATTAGCAAACTGTGTCTTGAGGAGCACTACCTGTATTTACAAACGAGCAGTGATAAGTTGAATATGCAACATAAATAACAGCCATCTATAGAAATAATAACAAATACAACATCAATTATATCAATCCTCAACTCTCGTGTTCAATTTGTAATCAGAAAAAGGTGCAATCATTACAGCATATCCTTTTAATTTGCCCTGTTTATGACAGTTAGGAAAAAAAGTCGTTCGTATCTATCTCTTCTACCCAGATGATATTTCTTTGACTTATTATACCATAAAACATTGGAAGAAGTTAATAATTAGAATGTAATTTCAGCACTAAAACAGAAGTTAATTATAGAAGAGTAATTTAATTACAAAACCATGAAAGTGAAAGAGTAGCATTGTATTTATTTATATTTACATTTCACATGAATACCAAAGATAATTTGTTATTACCTCATTTTTAAATTCACATGTCACCTATAGCAGAGGTTATAAATAAATATTTATTACAATTAACATTTCTTGATTTCTCTAGATATATTTTTAACACCCCCTGCGCCTTAATTATCACGAGATAAATTTGTTTTCAAAGAATGCAATTCTCATTATTATCCCGAGTTTACTTTTTTTTATTATTTATTTTATCTTGGCTATAATTACACATGCAGCTCTTTTAGTACAACCTACTGCCAGTAGGTACATGTACAACAATACACTCAATTGTTTTGGCTACTTAATAGCTAAATGAATGTTTTTATGTAATCATTTTGTTGTGTTTATTTTGTGCCGATTGTGAGACATTTTTCCATTTACTTTATATTATTTTATTTTTTTAATGGGTATGATGGATAGTGATTACAATTATGAAATTATTTCCGAATCTAACCCAATCCTACAAGTATGTGTGGTATGTAATAAAAAAAACTAGGCCATCGTAACGTGATACTTGTGCCCCGATGTTATGTGTGACATCTTCCTTCGAGACAAACCGCTCTCACTTAAATTGTATTTTATTCTATTTATTTTTTTTATTTATTTATTTTTTTAATTAATTTGCTTGTACATTATGTTATAATTGTTTTTTACATTTGTAAATAATACTATTTTAATTGGTTTATTGCAAAACTTGTATTTTTACATGCCAGAGTTAGCTCACGATAATAGTATAACATTTTTGATACGCCAATTTGGTAAATAAATAAAATCTAATTAAAAACTTGAAAAAACTAACTTTTACTTGTAAAGAATAAAAATCTGTCATTAAAAATAGGTCATTTTTGGAATGTACTTTAAAAAAAGCTTGTAAAGTAAAATAATAGTTAAAAACTAAACTTTGTGGTATTTTTCAAATTTTTTGCATTTATTAAGGTTCCTCATTGAAAATTATTTCAAATGAACCTTTTTTCGCACTACCTCACATCTCATCACGATAGCACAAGTGGTTAGAGTGCCGGGGAAAAGCCGGAGTCCATGGGTTCGAGTGCTACTCATGTCACTAATTTTTCATATCAACCACACTTTGCATAAAAATTATAAATCAATTTAAACATAAAATAAAATTTAAATAAATCACAAATGAAGTGCAAATTCATCATGCCAGAAAACTGCCAGAAAAATTAAAGCAACCGGCAATTTTTAATCAAAATTTATTATTGTTATGTATTATATTAATGTAGATTTTATATTTAAAATTATGAGCCGTCTCAGCCAAAGTTCTATTCAATCAGGGTCTCAGACAAAAGTGAGAGCATTTAAAATTGAAATTTGTTTGAAGTCATTTGGTGCAGTCAGGAATTAAGTATTTTATAAAAACACCTTTTTTCATTTTTCCCCCCGTTTTGACCTTTATTTGGGTCATCTTCAAGAGGGTCTCGGTGAATTGCAAAACAAACATTGATTGGAAAAAAAATACACTACAAATGTAAATATTGATTTTGAACAGAACATTTCATAGTATCATATTTGATTCATGTGAAATTGTTATAAATTGTGAATTTATATTCTGCTGTTTTATATGATTATGATAAGGTTGGGAACGTGGTAAATCTAGGAAATTTTCTTTGATCATAGGCGGTTTCATTTGATTCAAAGGTAATCAAGAAAGGGGATTTTATGGGGTTTATGAAATACTGGAAAGGAAGTTAAAATTATGTATGATAACGAAGGAAAGGGAATATCTCACCACAAGAATGGTACTTCACTTTATGTGAATATGAAATACTCTGTTCAAAATTTGTATTATTTACATCTGTTTTGTATTTTTTCCAGTCAATAAGTTTTGTATTTCACCCAGGCCCTGAAGATGACCAGAATAAAGGTCAAAGCGACAGCAAAAAAATTAAAAATGTGTTTTTCTAAAGTACTTTATTCCTGACTGCTCAAGACTTCAACAAATTATTGAACAACCGTCGATAAAAAAAACGCACATTGAAATTCCTCAGTTGTGAATAATCTTTAGACGGATCTTGGAAATCATTTTCATATCCTGCGACATAAAGCACATGCACATCAATGTCAATACCTGCTTTCAGTGTCGACCCGTTAACAATAATTCGTTTGTGAAAAGAAATTTGTATAAAAGCCGAAGAATTGAAGATTTTTTTTACCAGGGCTATTGCCAACGCCTCGCATTTTTATTTTAATAATTTATTTTTAATTTAATTTAATTTTTATTTATTTATTATTTTTTAGCACGAAAGGAATTAGCTCTCTTGTAGGAGGCCAAGCAATCATCCTGATGGAACTTCTGGGACTTGATTTCCCCTTAGATTTTTCCCTTCACACACAGTGAAAAGGCTCTACAACTGATGCATCCCTAAGCATTCCATTAGTCCAGTCTACCATTAGTTTGGCGCGTTTCAGGGTACTCGATAATCTGCTGAAGACTCGCCCTCAATCATGCTAATAATACAGTCATACTGATTATAACTTTTCATACCGTATGTACAGCTAAAAATTGGGGTATCCGAGGTATTAATATTATATATATACCAGGGTTTCCCAAACTGGTCCACAACAGACTTCGAGAAAAATTAATAATCACAAAAATAAATGCAGAATGAATAAATAAAATTCAGGAACTAACAATTAAGTAGTGGAAACAAGTTTTTTATTTTTTTAAGCCTCTTTTAAGAAAGTTTTGGATGAGTCTGTTCTAATTGTTAATTACATAAAGTTGCAGCCATTGAGGTTAAGACTTTTGACAATTCTATGCGTCAACATGGGAAACTATCATTCCTAGCCTCACCATACTGAAATCAGGTGGCTGCCTCATGGGAAAGCACTTTCGCGATTACAGGCATTATGTTCTGAAGTCTTATTCTGTTGATGGACCACAAATTTTTCATTCAATTATGAGAAATGACAAATGTATATTGTTGTATTATCAGATATTTTCATTAAAATGAACGAGATGTCTTTCTTTGCAATGGTATCACCACTTTCAATGCTAATGACGTTCGATGCTAATGACGAAGTTCACGCCTTTAAAAAAAAATCCAGTTTTGAATTGAATCTTTTGAGAAAGGTGGAATCTTTTTGGTGTTTTCCTGTGTTTTTAAAAGAAAACAATCGGAAGGTTGTGAACGACAAGTTGATCAATGAAATATGTGGACATCTTCGAAGTTTGGAGATGTCCTTTGTGCACTACTTCCGAACAGCTCGAGATACAATGCTGCACAATCAAGAATGAGTGGTCGAACTTTTTTCAATTTCGACAAAGCCAACCAGCCAATCTTCAAAGAAATACGAATGACTGGTAGACGTTAATTCAGACTACCTTGGAATCTACTTTCAAGTCCGATACTTACCCCCATTTTTGACTCCGTCTAGACAAAAAAAAATTCAACAGCTCGTAGAAAGAGCAAATTGTGTTCTTTTTCTATTTATCACAACTTACCTAAGCAAATCAAGATTTTCTATCTATACAGCCAGCAAAACTATAGAAGCTGTTTAGATGCTGAACCCGACAACCGGCTCCAGCTTTCAAAAATTAAACTCAAGAGCAAATTGTGTTCTTTTTCTATTTATCACAACTTACCTAAGCAAATCAAGATTTTCTATCTATACAGCCAGCAAAACTATAGAAGCTGTTTAGATGCTGAACCCGACCCCCGGCTCCAGCTTTCAAAAATTAAACTCAAGAGCAAATTGTGTTCTTTTTCTATTTATCACAACTTACCTAAGCGAATCAAGATTTTCTATCTATACAACCAGCAAAACTATAGAAGCTGTTTAGATGCTGAACCCGACAACCGGCTCCAGCTTTCAAAAATTAAACTCAACACATCCAAATTGTGCAGACTAAAAACAACCTCTCTCTTCCTATTAATTCATTAATGTTCAAATTATTATTTTTGAATTTGGCACGAGTTTTACATATCTATTGATTTTTGCATTCAGGATTTTGTAAATAAAGTTAGGTAGGTTGTTTTCACAGTGATATCCCTCACCATCACCTAATTAGGACTAGCTGGTTTGTAAAACTTTAATTTTCTATTGTGAACTACTACTAAATCTAGGTACCTAATTTTAAGTACTTGAATGCGAGGGGGTCTACCCTGGATTTTGTTCTGTGAAAGGAGTCCACTGGCTGAAGAGTTTGGGAAGCCCTGCGATACAACTGTATAACAAGAGAGATTTATTTTTAAAAATAAGTTAAGATTTAATAAAGAATGGTCATTTATATTTGAACTGATATGAAAAGATAAAAAAAATGAATAAATAAAATTTAGTGTACCTCCACCATGCCATTTTGTAGATGATCGCAGCAGAAGTAATAAAAGTTATTTTGACGTTTTGTAAAGTTAGAATGTCCAATGCAAAAATGAAAAACAAACCGGAGAGAGAACACGTTTTAATAGAAAAGGTTTTAAAGTCATTTTTCAATCGGCGATTACATAAAACGTCTTTGTCATCGCTCCAGGCAAGAAATTTCTTGAAAACACGTGCTTCAATAGTGAAGAAGGATCGAAACGTTCATGTTCTACGAAACTTTTGGAATTCAAAATGGCAGGGGATAAAAACCTGTTTCACGATCAAAAAAACCGTCCGACAGAATTTAATTTTTTTTTTTAAATCGTCAAACCACGCCGTCGAGTTTTTGGGTTTTTAGAACCAAAAGGTTAAAACATAATGAACGTTCGGATTGGTGACGTGTTTTCACAAGGGCGAGAATCGATAAATTGCCCTTTTTTCTCCAGGGAAACCCAATGACTGTGCAAAACGCGTATACTATTTCAACACGGGCGAAAGGGGCGAGTCGTTTAAAAAAGAAAAACTGTTACATAATGAACCCCGGAGGCCGAGATGTGGGGAGAAACGAGAGAAAGTTCAAATTCGGCGAAAAGAGAAAGTTTCCCGGATTTAAGGTTAGACGAGGCCGTCTGGGGGAAAGGGCCAGGCCGTCGGAGAAGGAAAATCCCGAAGGGCGAAAAAGGACGTAGTAGGGCCCGAACGCCGCCTCCTGACACGAACTGGCCCTTCCGAGGGCCGGCTGCATTAAAGTAGAAAAAGCTCGGCCGCGAGGAGCCAGCGAACTGGGTCTAGGCCAGGCCGTCCTCCATTACTCGGGGTTACCTCATGTCTGGACAAAGTACGAAATTACGTCTAAAACCTTAAACCATCGGCAAAAAGATTTTATCTAAAATAAAAAACAATCGAAGACGGTTTGTCGACGGTCAGCGGAGCGCTGGCCGTGCAGTGAACGTCGAAAACATTAAAAAAAGAACAAGTTTAAACGGGTTACGACGAGCCGCCAGGGTTCGAGCAGTCCTATTAAAGAATAATTTATTTTTGAAGAAAAATCAGCGGATAAACGGACTTACATCAGCCAGGAGAACGTTGGTAAGTGCGGCCCCTTCTGGTCGGAGTCTCCTGAGGAACCGCCGATTGGACGAGGAGAAACGCCGTACCCGGGTTTTCGCGCCTACGGGGAAAATGGCGATTATGGTGAAGGTCCGTTGGAAAAACGGTGCTGGCCTCCGCCTGGTCGCCGGGGCCGGCAAAATCCCTGATCTTACTCACCGTCTCATCCTAGAGTCGACCAGCGCCTTTTCACCAGGCCCTCTTCCCTCTTATTTTCCAAACTGGATCGGCGCGATGAGCGGGGACGGCGACGAAGGACGACTGTTGACTGAGAGGCGAGGGCCGTTCTGACTCTGCGCGAGGTTAGCGCATAACCGGTCAATATGAAACAGGAAGTCAACTTTTCTCATACCTATTTTCCCTCAAACCATCAACCGAATATCAAAGAAAAAAATCCGTAAAACAGTTAACAACACCCGAATATTATCTATCAACGATTTCTTTTTAAAAATCCAACATATACAGACCAAAAACCTCACGCCGCTCCTTGTTCTCAATCCTCTCTAACTCTAAAACTACGAAATATACAAATTCAATCAATTTTTTCAAAATCTTATTTTTTATTTATTGACTTTATTTTTAAAATGATGAAAATGACAAAATAAATTTATCGGTGCAAAAATATACTCCCCAAGACCTTTCCGAAGATCAATCTTCTTCAGTACTGGAAAGAGGAAGCTGATGAAAACCCAAACTGACTTGAAAGTCGTTAAAACTCATCCTAAATTTAAATTATTATTGACGAATAACAAAATAAAACTGAAAAAAATAAGGAAACTTTACAATTAAACAAAAAACGTCGAATTCTTATATCGATAGAAAATCGATGTTTAATCGAATTCATCATGGAAAATTCAAAAATGACAAACAACATTCACTTCGGTTTCATTTTAAATTTTCAACTTCACTATTAGTTAGTAAGTGGTTTAATTTTCTCCCAAATAAAAAACAAACCCCAGTAGTGTAGCATTACAGTTTCGATCGTGTTTCAAGCATTAGTAACCTACGTAAACGATTTATTTGCAGGATTTGCGTTTTGCGAGCGTGACGTGGGAAGATCGGAGGATGTTGAAAATCGGCCGGTTCTCCGTCAAGTCGTGGTTCGAGACGGTCCAACCCTGAGCGAAACTCGTCTCCCGCCTGGGAAAATGTCACTCCCGGGTAAGGCCGGCCTATTCTGCCTCGCGTCGCTCTGCTCCTGGCTCTGGTACCAGCTCTACCAATTCTACAGATTCAAGCACAAATACGGTGGTGAATTCACGACCAGGATCGTCGCTGGCATCCACGGTGTGGCATGCATAATCCTCTCCTGCCTAGCTCTAATATACGGACCGGATCCTCTCGATGGCATCGGTAACTATTCCCATCGTGATGTTAAAAATTTCAGAGTAGCCCTTACTCTGAGAAGTGACTCATGATCTAATCTAAAATCATCAATATAGATTTTGGCTGGTAGACGATTGCGAAAGACTTGTTTTTTGGTTAGATACTGCGGTTGAGACAACTCTTAAGTCATCCTCTCTACACAATTTTTTTTACATCACTCAATTTGTTACTTAACCCTAGTTCAAATTTTAAAACATGAAAAACTACATAATTAACTTTGGTCAGTAAACAGTAAATGAGCAGTAAGTAGTTACAAGGTCATTTTGGTGTGTAAAACTATGGAATTAAGTGGGGATACAAACCTAATCTCAACTTCCAACTGGGATCAGGACCAATGGAATGAAATTATTCTAATCTTTGGCATCCTTTCTGGGGGATGACATGTTGGGGAAGGGTGATGAGTTCCTTTTCCCCTGATCTACACTAAAAAGTGGTATTTCCTGGAACTGTAGCTAAACTGAAGGTACAGCGAATAGAAATTATTCCAAAATTTAGAAGCCTTTCTAATGGATAGATGCCCTTAGGTTGAAAAAAAAAAAAAAAACATGATTGTGGGTTGTTGCTCCTGCTCTTCTTCCAGCTGAAAATTGGCTTTTAGCACCAACTATGCCCATAGATTCAGTACTATTTTTTTCACCTTTCGAAGAGGATGGACAACTTTATTATTATTATTATTATTTTATTTTTTTAGTAGATTAATTATGTTCAGAGTTCCTTTTGTACTGAAATTATTCCATGATTTGGAATCCTTTCTAGGGTATGAACCTGAAGTAAAAAAATGTTCTCCATCCTCTCTACACGATTTTTTTACATTACTCAATTTGTTACTTAATTTAACGATTTTAAAACCTGAAAAACTACATACTTTAACTTTGGTCAATGAACAGTAAGTAGTTATGAGGTAAAACTATGGAATTAAGGGGGGATACAAACCTAGTCTCAACTTCCAACTGAGATCAAGACCAATGAAATGAAATTATTCCAACCTTTGGCATCCTTTCTAGGGGATGTTGGGAAAGGATGATGAGTTCCTGTTTACCTTATCGACACTAAAATATATATATAGTAGTACACATATGTATATATAGTACAAGACTAGTAAAATTTTAGAACAAATAGATATGTAATTGTTCGTGGTTTATTTACGCAATTTTATTTTTTTACCTTTATTTGGTGAATTTTGTGTTTTTAGTGAAAATTTGTTTTAACATTCATTCACTAGTTTCGTGGTCTGCTTGACCAATTAATATCATACAATTAAGGTTTTTAGTTGAGATAAAAAAGTCAAAAAATGGCAAAAAGGAGGGAAAATTCAAAAGGTGTGGGTGAGATGGGAGGTTGGTGTCCGAGTGGATCGAGGTCACGATAGCTCAAGTGGTAGAGCAGCGGCGAATCAAGCCGAAGATCGTGGGTTTGAATCCTGCTCGTGCCATTGACTTTTTTATCTCAACTAAAAACCTTAATTATTTGTTTTAATAATTGATTTTATTTGAATTTCTTCAGGTGAGCCAAACACTTTCCTCCAGAGCCTAACAATGGTAATAAGCCTAGGCTTTTTTGTATATGATTTTGTCTGGTGTGTGAAATACCAGCCGGAAATAAAAATTATACTTGCACACCACTTTGGGGGTATCGTGTCCTTGACTTTTATACTCTGCTGTGGTTTTTCAGGTAAAGGTAATAGCTATTTAGTCATAAGCTTTTCTACATTTTCCATTATTCAGGCGCGGAAGCAATAGCAGGCCTCGGAAGTATGGAGTTTACGAACCCAATGGTGCAAGCGCGATGGTTTCTGAGAACATTCGAGAAAAAAGACACAATACTCTATCAAGTCGTCGAGTACTGTTTTTTGGGTACGTGCTCTATAATTGGCCATGAGTCGTATGTGTGGAATCACGTTTTGTTTTTCAGTTTCGTTCCTAACGGTTCGCCTTGGATACGGCAGTTGCCTTTTCTTTGCGATAATGACATCGGAAAAGACATTATTTATGGTCAAGTGTTGCTCACTGATTATGTGCGGAGTATCTATAGCTCTTATCTACAACATACTCCAGTTCATCTCTAAGAAAATCAACGACCGGAACTTAGAGGATGACGACATCAAACTTTGCTGAGGTAATCCGAGCAAAAGTGTATAAGTGATTGATCAATTACAAGAACTGTTTGGCCAAACGCTGGAGGCTTTTGATATTTTACAATTTCTAAAACTGCCACCGGGAAAATCGCTCCCACCAATTGTTAACAAAAGCCATTTTCCTGACATAAACAGTTAACATGTGATCACATTTTATATTTACTTAATCAGCAGTATTCTAAAATGACATCTTGAATTGATTAATGCCTAAACCGTGAACAAATAAAATTATTTTTAAGATCTTTCTATTTTTTGATTAGCTCAAGATCCTATTAGTAGTAGTAAGAATTAGAGAACAATATATCCTATAATGGATAAATTTGTAAATGTAATCACCATTGTTATGATAATCACATATTGATAACTTTACCTATGCCAAATGTGTAGAAACGTACCCAAGTATTTAAACAAAAATATAAACAAAATCATATTAAGAAGAGTATTTTTGCTGAAAAATAAGCTTTATAGGGTGGGATTTATGAATATGTATATGTTCATAGAAAATAGAAATCCAGATTCTTTGATTTGATCATTCCAAAGTCAATAATACCGTACAAAAGCAATTCAATTGTCACTTATTTAAATTCAAGTTTGCTTAAAAACACTTGAATGGAATTTGTTAGTTGTATCAGTGCTTTTTGTAATTAAAAAAAAATGTTATTATAGGTGGGTGTGATGTTTCTTATCTCTATGCTTATTTCACTCTCAACAGGACACCCAATAATGACACATCTACATAGAATAATACATATCACTTGGAGCCCTGAAGATGATCTCAATAAAGATTGAAACTTACAATTAATTAAGGTTTTTAGTCGAGATGAAAAAAATTTAATGGCACGAGCGGGATTTGAACCCACAATCTTCGGCTAGATACACCGCTGCTCTACCACTTGAGCTATCGTGACCTCGATCCACTTGGACATCAACTTCCTATCTCAACCTCACCTTATGAGTTTCCCTCCTTTTCGCCATTTTTCAAATGTCGTGTAATCGGTTTTCATCTCGACTAAAAACCTTAATTAATTGTAATGATTTAATTGGTCAAGCGAACCACGAAATTAGTGAATTTAAAGATTGAAACGTTGGCACAATTAAGAAAATGTTTTCTAAAACCTACATCACACCAGACCCCATCTCACGATCTTCAAATAATCTATGCTTGTTAATGCATGTTTAATTAATGGAGATATAACTCTATAGTCAATCTTGTTGTATCTATAGGTTTTTACAAATCCAGTGCGGTATTTATAGTATTTCTTGTTTTGTTCGACAAAAAATGTGTTCTTTAATTGTCTAATAAAAATTTTAGAAGTGAGGTAAAAGGCTGTTTATATTCCACGGCAATTATGAGACTCATTAATAATCAAATTGTGACTACTCAACAGTAGTGGGTATTTCTGCTTAAAATTTTAACAGCCCTTATTTATTATCATCTGTCATTTTGTTTATTGTGTTTTATCAAAGCCTTGTAGCATACTTATTGTTAGTTAACCCCTAGTCACTAGATTTGTATTAATAAAACAATTTTTGTTTACTTTTTTATAAAAATTCTTTCAATGTAAATGCTGTACTAACAAATGTTTTATGTAAATCTGTTAACATAAATAAATGTTACCAAATATGTGAAGTCTTATTTCAATTAGAGCCATATTATTTAAAGTGTAGAGATTAGTGACCGTTAATCAACAGTAATTCAGATATCGTGAGATGCTGTCGGGTGTGATATAGGTTTCAGAAAAACATTTTCTTTATCGTGCCAATGTTTCGATCTTTTATTGAGATCATCTTCAGGGCTCAGTGTTTGTCTTCTGTGTAATTGTGCCATCCTTGCGTGTCGTGTTGAGAGTGCCCTTACACAGAAGACCAACACTTTGAGCCCTGAAGATGATCTCAATAAAAGATCGAAACGTTGGCACGATAAAGAAAATGTTTTTCTGAAACCTACATCACACCTGACCGCATCTCACGATATCTGAATTACTATTATTTAAAGTTTTAAAACAGTTTTTGAAAGCTTTCTTTTTCATTTAGTATATTGTTTGTATTTAAATTTGTTACCTTTGGTTTTGTCGTTACAAACGTTGAAAAAGAAATTGTGAAAATCTATAATTAAGGCCTATAATACTGGTTTATGGACAAAATTAGCTGTTTTTGTTATTGACTGTTTGTAATTGTACAGAGGGGAAATATTTCATTTGGTACAATGAAGACTATCACTTCATAAATTAATAATAGATATTTAAAAAAATTTATTAAACAAAATAATTTTAGTACATCGAAGTTCAAAATCTCTTAAATATTTAATACCTGTACAAAAAAACTGATTTAAACTTGACTCAGGTAACAATAATGTACAATACAATACAATTGGATTTTTAATAAATATAAAACTTAATAGCACAATAGCAAAGCTACAAATAAATCAACAAATTTACTTTAAACATACAATTTAATTAAAAAATAATAAAATAAAAAACAAAGAAAAGTAACGTAACAGAAAATTAAAAGGCAAATGTCTTGATATATACAAAGAACATGTTAATACTATTATTAGTACAATAAGCCGTTAAAATGCCCTTAAAAATTAATAATAATAATAATAATTAGTACAATAATTCTATTTTCCTGAAGTGCTTGGAATTTCAAATTTGAGTGCATAAAGATCACAGTTTTACAGAAGGATGCTGAACTGTCATCCTAAAGACTATACAAAGGCAATCGAAGAACACACATATGTGAGATTGCTAATGCTACATAATGTCAGGCCCCATAAAACATATTGAGGATGATTACTAAATGAGGTTGGAATTGAGTGCCAAGGGTGTGGCCAGCTTGAAGCCTAAATTTGAACCCAATCCAACACATTTGGGACCAACATAAGCAACAAGTACGCCGCCGAAACCTAGGTCCTGTACTTTGCCTGGACAAACTTCATATATCAGAAAACAAGAAAAACAAAATGTATGAATATAAAATTTTAGTGAAACCAGAGATTTTTATAACCTGTACGACAACTCTTCAATTAATCAGTTTTACAAATTTCCTCATACAAAATATAATTATGTCGGTGCTACAGGCTTGAGATAAATTGTTTAACGGCATGTTAGCAATACAATGTGGAAAAAATGGTTTTTGGGGAAAACTAGTGAATGGAGAAACCTTGCGAACCCATCCTAACACTCTAGAACACATGTAAATGGCTGTTCTTGACGAATGGGAAAGAATCCCTCAGGATTTTATCAGAAATATTTTCCAAGGAATGCAAATGTGTTTAAAGGACGTGATTTGTGCTAGAGGTGGGTGTACTCAGTATCGAAGGAGACAAAAAGAGTTTATTTTATTTATTTATTTTTTAAATTAAATAAATTTTTAATATATAATTAATTATTTTTAAATTAGATAATCAACATTTTCTTTTTAAATGCCTTATTTTTACAACCAAACCTATGCATTTTTGATATGCAAAATATGAATAAACCTAAATACATTAAAACTTATGGGTGGTGCATTTATTTTGTCCATCAGTGAGCATATCAACACCTCGCAGACCACAGAAGCCCCACGATTTACACTCTAATATAATAATTTACCAAAAATAAAAAAGGGTTGGTGGATGAAGATACATAAGAAAAACAAATTTAGTAACAGTATATAAAACAGGAACAAGTGGATAGTGTAATGTACGTTGGAGTGCCACCATTTTTTTTTTAATTCCCGGTAAAATGGGTAGATTCCAATTTTGAAAAAATCGATATTAACCCCAAAGTTCAAAAGTTATTTCTCGATATTTGGAAAATGAGGGTAAAGGTAAAATCGGTAATTGATTAAAGGATGACAACGTACAAAAAGTATGCCTATGCCTGTTTCTCAGACAAATTTAACAATTGAAAAAACATGTGATTTTCCTTTATCCCAGTAGTATAGCATTACAGTTTCGATCGTGTTTGAAGTATTAGTAACCTACCGGTAGCGATTTATTTGCAGGGTTTGCGTTTTGCGAGCGTGACGTGCGAAGATCGGAGGATGTTGAAAATCGGCCGGTTCTCCGTCAAGTCGTTCGTCGAGACGGTCCAACCCTGAGCGAAACTCGTCTCCCGCCTGGGAAAATGTCACTCGCGGCGAAGGTCGGCGTCCTCGGCCTCGCGTCGCTCTGCTCCTGGCTCTGGTACAAGCTCTACCAATTCTACAGGGTCAAGTACGAATTCGGTGGCGAGTTCACGACCAGGATCATAGCTGCCATCCACGGTTTAATATGCATAATCCTCGCCTATCTCTCTCTAAGATTCGGACCGGATCCTCTCTCCGAGCCCGGTAACTATTCCCATTGAGATGTTCAAAATTTCAGAATAGCCCTGACCGAGAAATGACTCGTGATCCAATCAAAAATCATCAATACAGATTTTGGCAGTTAGACTATTGCGAAAGACCTGTTCTTTGGTTAGTTACTGCGGTTGAGACAATCCTCTCTACACAATTTTTTTTACATCACTCAATTTGTTACTTAACCCTAGTTCAGATTTTAAAACCTGAAAAACTACATACTTTAAGTTTGGTCAATGAACAGTAAGTAGTTACAAGGTCATTTTGTGGTGTAAAGCTATGGAATTAAGGGGGGATATAAACCTAATCTCAACTTCCAACTGGGATCAGGACCAATGAAATGGAATGAAATTATTCCAACCTTTGGCATCCTTTCTGGGGGATGAACTGATGTTGGGGAAGGGTGATGAGTTCCTTTTCCCCTGATCTACAGTAAAAAGTGGTATTTCCTGGAATGTAGTTAAACTTATGGTACAACGAACAGAAATTATTCCAAAATTTAGGAGCTTTTCTAGGATGCCCTTAGGTTAAAAAAAACATGATTTTGGGTTGTTGCTCCTGCTCTTCTTCCAGCTGAAAATTGGCTTTTAGCACCAACTATGCCCATAGATTCAGTACTATTTTTTTCACCTTTCGAAGAGGATGGACAACTTTATTATTATTCAATTAATTAAGGTTTTTCGTTGAGATAAAAAAGTCAGTATCACGAGAGGTCACGATAGCTTAAGTGGTAGAGTAGCGGCGTATCAAGCCGAAGGTCGTGCGTTTGAATCCCGCTTGTGACACTGACTTTTTTTTATCTCAACTAAAAACCTTAATTAATTGAATGATATTAATTGGTCAAGCGGACCACGAAAACTAGTGAATTTATTATTATTATTTTATTTATTTTTTAGTAGATTCGTTATGTTCAGAGTTCCTTTTGTTCTGATATTATTCCATGATTTGGAATCCTTTCTAGGGGATGAACCTGAAGTAAAAAAAATGTACTGTGTTTTTGGACTTTAAGTTTTTTAAAAATCACGATTTTTGGTAGTCTAAAGGTCAGCTCTTCAACAAACTGAAAATGTATGGGATTTCAGCACCAACTTTGAAAAAGTGAAGGACTTAAGTTAATAAAAAATCATGGTTTTTTTGTTGTTAGGTCTTCTACAAACTGAAAATATATTGGATTTCTGCACCAACTGTGCCTATAGATCCTTAGAGTGCCTTTTTCCTTGATCCACACTTTCAAGTGGTATTCCCTGGAACTGAAGCTAAATTTAATGAACAACAAACAGAGACTATCTAGTCGATGGATCCCCTTAGGTTTAAAAAAATTTTAAAAAACTGGCTTTTGGTTGTTGCTCCAGCTCTTCTACCAATTTAAAATGTAATGGTTTTCAGCACCAACTTTGTAACAAAATGAAGGACTTAAGTTTTTAAGTAAAAGTTTTTGCATGTTGTAACAGCTCTTCTTCCGATTGAAAATTGGCATTTAACACCAACTGTGCCTGTAGATTGATTACTTTTTTCACTTTTTGAAAGGTGGACAATTATATTATTTCTTTAGTAGATTCATTACGTTCAGAGTTCCGTTTTTACTGAAATTAATCCAACATTTGTCATCCTTTCCTGTACCGTAAGGATCAATAAATAGAAGTCCTTAAGATTTTGCAATCTTTTTAGAGGATGGATGCTGCTGAGTAAAATAATAAATAAAAAATAATTTTAAAAAATCAGGGTTTATTATTGCTGTGCCAGCTCTTCTTCCAATTGAAAATTGGCTTTCAGCACCAACTATGTCTTTTGATTCATTACTTTTTTTTTCACTTTTTGAAATGGATGGACTTTTTTATTTACTTATATACTTTTTTAGTAGATTCATTATGTTCAGAGTTCCTTTTGTACTGAAATTATTCCATGATTTGGCAGGCTTTCTAGGGGTTGGACCTAAATATTTTAAAAAATCAGCTCTTCTACAAACTGAAAATGTATTGGATTTCATCACCAACCATGTCTGTAGATTCCCTATGTAGTTTCCTCCTTGTTTCCTTTTCCTTTTCTCCTGATGTAAACTTCCAAGTGGTTTCCTCTAGACCATATATTTACTAGTGGATGGAGACATTACATACATAAATCCAAGGTTTTTGGTTGTTGCATACCGCCAGCTTTTCTATCATTGGAAAATTAGCATTAATCACTAAAAATGTTTGTAGATTTCCTATGTTGAGAATTCCTTGTAGGTTGTACATTTTGAATAGGTTTAGTAGTAATAATCAATAAAGGGGGATAGAATCCATTCTCTTCCTCCGTATACTATCCCTTTGGCATCATTACGATCAACAGAAATGGTTGTTATAAGTGTATAATGGTTAATATTAATCAAATCAAATGATCTGTCTAAAAGTATAATTTTAGTTATTATTTCAGCTTTAATCTAAATATTAAATTTATTTTTCTGTGTACCTCTTATAATCAAACAATTACAAAGATGTTATTAAATTAAATTGTGTTGATTTGTCAATTTGCATAACATTTAAGTTATAGTACAAGACTAGTAAAATTTTAGAGCTCTTTGCATTGCGTTGTTGACATCTGGTAATAACAAGGAGTAGACAAAAGGATTTATTTACACAATTTTATTTTTTACCTTTGGTGAATTTTGTGTTTTTAGTGAAAATTTGTTTTAACAATTGGTTTTATTTGGATTTTTTCAGGTGAGCCAAACACTCTCCTCCATTACATAACAATGGTAATAAGCCTAGGCTATTTTATATATGATTTTGTCTGGTGTCTGAAATACCAGCCGGAAGTAAAAATTATACTCGCTCACCACTTTGGGAGTATCCTGTCTCTGACTTTTATACTCTGCTGTGGTTTTTCAGGTAAAAATAAAAGCTATTTAGTCGTAAGCTTTTCTACATTTTCCATTCTTCAGGCGCGGAAGCCATAGGAGGCCTCGGAAGTATGGAGTTGACGAACCCACTGCTGCAAGCGCGATGGTTTCTGAGAACATTCGAGAAAAGAGACACAGTACTCTATCAAATCATCGAGTACAGTTTTTTTGGTATGTGCTCTATAATTGGCCATGAGTCGCATGTGTGGAATCACGTTTTGTTTTTCAGCTTTGTTCCTAACGGTTCGCCTCGGATATGGCAGTTACCTTCTCTTTGCGATAATAACGTCGGAAAAGACATTATTTATGGTCAAGTCTTGCACACTGATTATGTACGTAATATCTTTAGCTCTTATCTACAACATAGTCGAGTTCATCAAGAAGAAAATCAATGACCGTAGCACAGTGGATGACGACGTCAAGCTTAGCTGAGGTAATCCGAGCAAAAGTGTATAAGTGATTGCTGAATTACAAGAACTGTTTTTACCGTTGTAGTTTATTTTTGGCCAAATGCTGGAGGCTTTTGATATTTTACAATTTGTAAAACTGCCACCGGGAAAATCGGTCCCACCGATTGTTAACAAAAGCCATTTTGCTGACATAAACAGTTAATATGTGATCACATTTTATATTTACTTAATTAATAGTATTCTAACATGAAAACTTGAATTGATTAATACCTAAACGTGAGAAAATAAAATTATTTTTTAAGACCTTTCTATTTTTTGATTAGCTCAAGATCCTATTAGTAGTAGTAAGAATTAGAGAGCAATATATCCTATAATGGATAAATTTGTAAATGTAATCTCCATTGTTATGATAATCACGTATTGATAATTTTACCTATGCCAAATGTGTAGAAACGTACCCAAGTATTTATTTTAACAAAAATATAAACAAAATAGTATTAAGAAGAGTATTTTTGCCAAAAAATAAGTTTTATAGGCTCGGATTTATGAGTATGTAATGTACGTAGTAAATAGAAACCCCGATTCTTTGAAGTGATCATTCCAAAGTCAATAATACCGCACAAAAGCAATTCAATTGTCATTCTATTCTCATGGATTTTTCCTTTCATGTAAAATTTAAATTCAAGTTCTATTAAAAACATTTTAATGAAATTTGTTAGTTATATCAGTGCTTTTTGTAATTAAAAAAAAAGTTATACGTGGGTGTGATACTTCTTATCTCTGCTTATTAATGCATGTTTAATTAATGGAGATATAGCTTTATAGTCAATCTTGTTGTACCTATAGGTTTTTTTACAAATCCAGTGCGGTATTTATAGTATTTCTTGGTTTGTTCCACAAAAAATGTGTTCTTTATCTAATAAAAATTTTAGAGGTAAAAGGCTGTTTATATTCCACGGCAATTATGAGACTCATTAATAATCAAATTGTGACTACTCAACAGTAGTGGGTATTTGTGCTTAAAATTTTAACAGCCCTTATTTATTATCATCTGTCATTATGTAATTGTCATTTTGTTTATTGTGTTTTATCAAAGCCTTGTAGCATACTTATTGTTAGTTAACCCCTAGTCACTAGATTTGTATTAATTAATACAGATTAATAAAACAATTTTTGTTTACTTTTTTATAAAAATTCTTTCAATGTAAATGCTGTACTAACAAATGTTTTATGTAAATCTGTTAACATAAATAAATGTTACCAAATATGTGGAGTCTTATTCCAATTACAGCCGTATTACTTAAAGTTTTAAAACAGTTTTTGAGAGCTTTCTTTTTCATTCAGTATATTGTTTGTATTGAAATTTGTTACCTTTGGTTTTGTCGTTACAAACGTTGTTGAAAAAGAAATTGTGAAAATCTATAATTAAGGCCTAAAATACTGGTTTATTGACAAAATTAGCTTTTTTTGTTATTGACTGTTTGTAATTGTACAGAGGGGAAATATTTCATTTGGTACAATGAAGACTATCACTTCATAAATTAATAATAGATATTTTAAAAAATTTATTAAACAAAATAATTTTAATACATCGAAGTTCAAAATCTCTTAAATATTTAATACCTGTACAAAAAAACTGATTTAAACTTGACTCAGGTAACAATAATGTACAATACAATACGATTGGATTTTTAATAAATATAAAACTTAATAGCACACTAGCAAAGCTACAAATAAATCAACAAATTTACTTTAAACATAAAATTTAATTAAAAAATAATAAAATAAAAACAAAACAAAGAAAAGTAACGTAACAGAAAATTAAAAGGCAAATGTCTTGATATATACAAAGAACATGTTAATACTATTATTAGTACAATAATTCTATTTTCCTGAAGTGCTTGGAAGTTCAAATTTGAGTAAGCATAAAGATCACAGTTTTACAGAAGGATGCTGAACTGTCAACCTAAAGAAAGCAAGGTTGATATTACAGTCTGTAAATTTTATTTAAAAAGAAAACAAAACAAAAATTTAGTCAAGCCATTGTGACAAATAGCAAATAGATCGGGTTGTGCAGTTAGTTTGTTTCTGGGATAAGGAAAAACAGGGAGTAAGGCGATAAATATCAAGAATATTGTGCCTGTAGTGTATTTGACTTGTATTTCTGTTTGTCGTCTGTTTAACTTCATTCTTAGCTTATGTGAGAAGTCATGTTTTGAACATTTTTTTCAAGTTTATATGTAGAATCTAGTGTATTTCATTTGTTCGCTTGTTCGAATTTTGTGATTTTAAATCACATCGGTTCGTTAATAACGACTAATCAACCAAAGTTGACTCTTGCATCAGTATTTTTTTTAGTTACAGCACTGGGCATTCTTTGAACATGAAGTTTTCGTGTAAGCTTAATTTAAAATGATTCTTTCAACCTGTTTTTACAGAAGTTATTAAAATAAAAAGTAACTAGCACACTATGATACACAATACACTCGGATAAAAAAAAAAGATAAAAAGATGTACATTTTAAAATATTTGGTTCGTAATAATCTAAATAATAATAGAATATAACTGCAAGATTTAGAAGAATTTCATTTCATTGTTAAAACGAGAAGGTTTAAATATTACTTTTTACTGGTAATGATTTGCATTAAAGTGGTTAATTAAAAACTTGAATTATGCAACTAACAAACTACTGAATCTTACAAAAATACCTGCATTTCTTGGCACATGGAGTGTTTATCATGGAAAAGGTTTTCAATTTTAAAAATCATTTGTAGAAAAATAACATTTTAGAAAAGGGGGCTAAACATTTACCACAAGATTCTTTTTGTTTAATAATCAAAAATTTTATTTTGTGCGATACCTTCAGTCTTATCTGCTAAGGCTGATTAGTAGTGTTTATATCCTAAAAAATTTACAATTTGTTCACTATTGTGTCCTTGATGTATTTGTTTAATTATATTTGTTTTTTTGTCACTTTAACCAGTTTAGAATTGGGCAACAAAGTTCAAATACATAAATAAAAAAAGACAACATAATCACATTATAATAAAACACAATCCTTATAAATATTCTCTCCAATGCTTGAAACAAATAAATTTAAAACAGCACAATTAAAATGAAAAAAAGAAAACACAATAATGCCACACAAAAATATCACATTGGTTTCGTATTGAAGTGGAAAAGTCCCAAAATAAAAAAATCGTCTCATGTCAAGAATCCATTCGATTTTTGCATTGCTTGTGATTTGATCAAGAGTTGCGTCTCTTGACCAAATGGCTTGTAATTCTCTTCCCTTTTGAACACGTCATTGCATGATTCAAACAGTCGTGTCACTTTATTTTTCGTGAGCGTAAGTTTATCCGTGACACTGTCAGATGGCTTTTCTACAATTTTAAGCTCGACATTTTTCATACTTGCAACAGTTCTTGTTTTTTGAAGTTGGATTTTCTTAAGATTTACCGTACCTTCAAAATGTATCGGGACATTGTTCGAGTCCAAAGGGTGGATGCCGATTTCTAAAGAGCTCTGGCTTGATTTGAGTTTCGATTGGACCTCTTGCTCTCGCTTCTTCCTGATCGCAATCGCATTTTTTTCAGCTTCGGTTAAAATTCGCCCGATGCTCTTCTCTTCGACCGGCTTTGTCTCGTCTTCCTCCTTTATGACTTTGACAGGGTCTTTTATCAAAAACTCAGGGGCACTCATCTGCGATACCAGGCTCTTCCTCCTCTGTGAAGTGATGTTGATTTCTTGAAGGATTTTGAGAACTTCTTTTGGGACCTGGATGTCCCTGTTGGCATCGACGATCTCGCTGATAAACAAACCAAGTGTGTTTACCGAGTTCTCTAAACTCTTCTTGTCAGCTTCCAGTCTATTCAGCTGTTGCATGTAATTAGAACGTGATGACTCAAGTCTGTTTTTATTGCTTATCTCGATCTGAAAACATTATAGATTTAATCAATATTTTAATAAACAGAAAACTAGTCTTAAAATGTATATTTAATGTTTAAATTTTTTTCTAATTAAATGGATTCATAAATACATCAATAATAAAATTAATCTGTGTATGTTTAGTAGTAATAATTGACCATATTAATTATTTTAATTAAAATAAATGCCAGAAGGAAAAATTAAACTTGTGAATATTTTTTAATTAATTAAGGTTTTTAGTTGAGATAAAAAAGTCATTGTCATGAGCGGGATTCGAACCCACGACCTTCGGCTAGATACACCGCTGCTCTACCACCTGAGCTATCGTGACTTAGATCCACTCGGACACTAACTTCCCATCTCAACCCCACCTTTTGAATTTTCCCTCCTTTTTGCTATTTTTCAAATGTCGTGTCGTCTATTTGATTCTCGGCAACAAATGAAATGACCACATAGAGCTTTAGTGAAGATATACTTCATTTTAATTTATTAAATTCACTAATTTCGTGGTCCGCTTGACCAATTAAATCATTACAATTAATTAAGGTTTTTAGTCGAGATGAAAAAAAGTTAATGGCACGAGCAGGATTCGAACCCACAACCTTCGGCTAGATACGCCGCTGCTCTACCACCTGAGGTATCATGACTTCGATCTTTTTATCTAATCTCAACTAAAAACCTTAATTAATTAAAAGATATTAATTGGTAAAGCGGACCACGAAAACTAGTGACTTGTGGATATTATTGAGATGTAATAAATAGAGAGAAAAATTTAGTGTATAATTTTAAACAATAACAAATATGTTTATTTACCTGCAACTGCTGACTCATTGCTGAGAGTTGTTGATTTAATGCCTGATTGGAGGCTTCGAGTTCCTTGATCTTTTTGGTTTCTGGCCTCGGAGATGCCATTTCCTCTTGTAGGACGTGGTATTCAACACCGTATTCATTGATTTCTTTGGATATGTCCGTATTTAGTGCCTTGAAAATCATAAATTGAATAACTAATATTATTGTTAATAAAACATTATTGCTTACTTCCTTGAGGAGTCTGTCTAAAGTCTGAGTGTTTACTTTTGGCAGAGTATTTTTAAGGTAGTCCATGACAAGCTCGAAACTGTCGCAATTCAAGAGGTTTTGCTCATGGTGGCCAATGAGGGCAAGCGCTATTTTGAATAATATATCAGGTGAATTTGCGAACAACAGGTCTGTAAAAGTTCAGAATTTAGTTTCGCCAGATGTACTTTTACACATTGTAACTCTTACCAAAAACGCGAGCAACATAGCCTAATGGGAACTGAGAGGCAAAGAGCGTGAGGAGCCATGGAGCTGCGTAAAGAGCAGGGTGGATATCGAGAGCGTCAAAGTGTGTGTAAAGTTGCGGGTGGTGGTCATGCATGAGCCTCGAAAGTTGATATAGCGACACTTGAAGTGCCGTCATGTCCGGGAGGTACCTTGCCCGAAACCCCCGTTGGAACATGAGGTGTTTCAAAAGATAGAACGCTTCAGCTTCGCTCATCTGTTGAAATAATGCAATTATGAATATTAATTGATACTAGAGAAAGAATACTAGAGAAAGCACTTACATGTAAAAGCAGCACTGCAGCTATAAAACTGAGCCCTTGGCAGTACCCGACCTCGGGATCAAGCAAAGAATAAGCCTTAAGAATATTGAACAGTGCCAATTGCCCTGGTCCAAGCGGTGAACTAAAGTAACTGTGGGATGGAAAAGTCCTTCCTAAAAATTATGATTTACTTATTAATAATCAATCATAATACAATAAAGTGATAAAATAATTTGCTTCCTTAAGAAAATACGCTTTTAAGTGAAATTAAAAACAATTAAATATCCATGTTTAAATGTTAAAGGATAATTCTAAGTCGGACCCTGGACAAATTTAATGCACCACTCAATTTTTTAGTTTAAAATTAAATCCATTACCTTTCTACATTAGTCACACACCACAGGATTAATTGGGTGAAAGTGGTTTGCTTAAGCTCACTAAATGTTTGGCTGAACGTGTGCTTGAAGCTGAAAGGTGATGCATTTAGGCTATGCTAAACACGATCCTATCACCAACAACTCTGGGAATTCTTGAAATGGCAAAACCAGCAAAAATGTGTTATTGAAGTCAAAATAAAAGTAAATAATGCTTTATTTACTTTTGTACTGATTTATCCCATTTACCCAAAAAGTATCATTATGCCCTTCCATTCTACTACACATAAAGATAGTTTCAGTTGATCTTTTTCCTTCGTTCATTTCATTTGATATCATTCTTATTCCTGAATCTTTTTTAATGGGTCCTGTAGGCATTCAAGTATGTCAGTATCAGGGTTGTCATATTATTAACCAGCGTGAAGTCGCCTGAAGACTTGAGTGTAAATCACTCTACAATAGGTGCTTCGGAGAAACAGGGCTTCACACTTCAAAGCCAGGGTCAGCCTAAGTCTATGGACAAGAGAAATGATTCATCTGTCATCAGGCTCTATGAAACCGCAGCATTATATACCATCAGATAAGAAATATGATAAGACAAGTCTGAATAGTTTCAATTGCATCCAGGATTATGAGAATAAGGCTCAATAAAAATAACCTCAGGGCCTCTTCTTACCACAACTCAGAAAACGTCTAGGCTTCAATTCTCTCTGGAACATGTAAATTGGACAGTGAAAGATTGTGGATGTTTCCTTTTCAGATGAAGAGAGAACTGGTCGCAAATCTTCAGTTGGGTGTAATTTCATATGCAGACGCTAAGGAGAAAGATGCCTGAGGTGGCATTCCATAGTGGATCACTGGTGTTCTGGGTGGCATTTCCCCGAATTACTTGTGCAAGAAAGATCTCATACTTCACAGAGGTACACACAAGACATAATTGAAAAATGTGCCATTAGCCCCCACATCGGTGAGAGATTCTTGCTAATGCAGGATAATGCCAGACCCCCATAGAGCACATATTGTGGATGACCTGAATGAGGTTGGAATTTTTACCGGAAATGAGTAATTTGAACCAAATCAAACACATTTGTGACCAACTTAAACAACGAGTATGACGGCGAAACTTATGTCTTAACATCCTAGAAGAGGTTGAAAAGATTGTTCTTGATGAATGGAAAAGAATTCCTCAGGATTTTACCAGAAATTTTTTACAAGGAATGCAAAGATGTTTAACAGATGTGATTTGTGCCAGAGGTGGAAATACTCTGTATTAAAGGGGGCAATTATTATTTATTTTTTTTTACATTTTTACCTGTTTTTGAATTTTTTATTTGTTTCTTTCCTCGATGATTTTCTTTTTTAGAATTAGGTAATAAACATTTTCTTTTCAAATATCTTATTTTTACAACCAAACCTAATTTTGGTATGCAGAATATGAATAAACCTAAATACATTAAAATTTAAGGGTAGTGCGTTAATTTTGTCTATCTGTGTATTATCATAAAATAATTTTTAGATTTATGTTTTTAAAATCTGACCTTTTAATGTTTCATCTTATGTTTTGTATGGTTTTGTTTTACAAGGTCAGGTAAATTTTGCGAGTGTACACAATTGCTTTCTCGTCAGATTATTTCGAATTATTTTGGGATTTCAAGGAGAAATCGTTACCGGTCTGAATGAAAAGTCGTCTTTTCTTTTGTTGATCAGTTCATTTTTTTACAAGAGATTTTAATCTTATCAAATTAGTTTTAAATATCAATAAATTATTTATATGGAATGAAAAATAATAAGTAGATATATATATATGCTAAAAACAAAGGAAATGTATAGTGTAAAAATCAACTATCATAAAAATTGCAATAAAAATTATTGCAATGAATTTTTTTAGTATCTCCAACATAGTATAATAAATTATTATTAAATTTACTAATTTCATGGTCCGCTTGACCAATTAATACATTACATTTAATTAAGGTTTTTAGTTGAGATGAAAAAAAGTTAATGGCACGAGCGGGATTCGAACCCACAATCATCGGCTAGATACGCCGCTGCTCTACCACTTGAGCTATCATGACCTCGATCCACTCGGACATCAACTTCCTATCTCAACCCCAAAAATGGCAAAAAGGAGGGAAAACTCATAAGGTGGGGTTGAGATAGGAAATTGATGTCCGAGTGGATCGAGGTCACGATAGCTCAAGTGGTAGAGCAGCGGTGTATCTAGCCGAAGATCATGGGTTCGAATCCCGCTCGTGCCATTAACTTTTTTTCATCTCAACTAAAAATCTTAATTAATTGTAATTTATTATTAAAACTTTTACTTCCAAATAAAACAAACAGTACATTTCCAAGAGTTATTTTCTCTCTCTCTCTCTCTCTCTCTCTCTCTCTCTCTCTCTCTCTCTCTCTCACACACACACACACACACACACACACACACACACACACACACACACAGAGTAAAAAAGATAAAATTTAAATAAACTCACCCAAGTCAATTAATATTGCATGTTGGTGGGAGGTCAATTCTTTTAAAAGATGCTCATATGGGACATTGAAGTAAGGAAAGTTTTCCAGATTGAAAGGAGTTTTTGTAGATTGATGCTTGACTAAGTGTAGCCAGATGTCACCTCGTTTCATCTTTGGGACACCTTTAAAGGCCAATATGTCAATCATGTCATCACGTATCTTCTCTTCTGTGATAATCGAATCCCAGAGATCGGAGTTGTCCACCGATCCGATCTCCTCATACTCAAGTTTTATTCTTTTCACGTTGGCCTCTTCCTGGCGAGCTGTAAAATTCAAGTTAGTTAAGAAACTCTTTGCAAATTATCGGCGATTATTATACTCTTGCGAATTCCTTACCGGTTAGTTTTGCATTCTCTTTTTCCATTCGTATCAGAAGTCTTGTCTGGTTGATAGCCTTCTTCCACAACTCCCTATAAAACTGTTTGTCTTTTTTTCTGTTTTGCTTCTCTTTTTCTAAAACAAGAAAACAGACAGATAAATGCAAAATATAAAATCAATTATGTAGGGGGGGTTACCTTGTAGGGCTTTACTAGGAGTTATGACAGTGTTGAATATTGCCTGCCTCCAAGACCGCGGTGGCGGTTTCTCTGAATCATTCGATTTCCAATCTTGCGAAGGTGTCTTTGGGCTGTTGCCCAATTTCATAAATCTATGAATAGAAAATGAGGATAAATAGATTAAATTATGTTGTTGGAAAATGTTTGAAAAAAAAATTACTGACAAGTTCATCATTGATCCAGGAGTTCCTGGTTCTTCAGTTATAGGATCTTCTGGCGAATCAGTTAGGGAATGTGATGACTCTTGAATTAAGTCCTACAAAGAAATTTTAATTTTAATATTCTCTTTTTATAAAAAAAACCAGAAAGGAAAAATGTGAATATTGACCAAAGATCTTGAACGAAACAGAAATTTTCTTGAATGTGAGACCACGCAGGTGAAAAATTTTGGAAGCACATTGAAATACATTGGAATCTAATTATTTTGACAATTTCCATTAGAATTAAGTCAAATTACAGTACAAAACAAACCCACTAATCCTTAGAGAATATTTTTAAGAGTTGTTTCAAATAATTTGTGTAGCTAATAAAACCACGTCTGAACCTGTAATTCAACTGGATGTTTAGACATGCGAGCCAATGATTCAAGGTTGACTAGGAGTTTTTGTTACATAACGGCTTCACCAAAACAAAAAGTCAAAACCAACCAATTATGACTAACAATACAAATACTGCCTTTTAATTTGACTTTTAATCTCATCTCCCCCCCTCTCCATCACTTACTCACTGAATTAGATTTTTCTTTGTACATGTATAGTTTACTGAAACTTAGATCATATAACCAAATTTAATTGTATTTTTTTTTAATTGAATAGTTTTAAGCATAGTTTATAATTACTTTTGAACAAATGTTGACAAGAAGTTGAATTTTTATTGATTTGTTTTTCCATTCAATGTTTGATTAGATAATTATAAAATAATTCCTATATTTTAAACATATGTATATGTTAAAAGAAGATTAAGATTAAGGTAATATTTAAGGACTTTATAAAAAAATAAGAGTACTGCCATTTTCATAATCTAGTTTTTTATGAGGATTCACAACAGCAGAGATCATATCAACTTTTTTTTTAATGTATATGCCTTAACTGTTGCTGCCATGATGCCCCTCATAATCTATATATATATAAAAAATCATCGTTATGAAGTTTGCGCACCACTTCTTAGTCAAAAGAAAGATTAACCTTTTCTGGATAGAATTATTACTCGTGATGAAAATTGGTTTCTCTAGGATAACTGGACAGTGGTTTGACAAAGGAGAAGCAGCTCCACATTTTCCAAAGCACCCAACTCATTAAAAAAGACTATTTGGTGGGCTTCATTTAGGCTGATTTAGTACAGCTTCTTGAAACCTGGTGAAACAATCTGAAATTTATCGCTCTCGAATTGGAGCCACGCACCAGCAATTTGAAATTATTGAGGCCATCTTTGGTCAGTCTGAAAAGGCCAATTCTGTTACACGACAATGCTCGGCCTGTGTCTCACATGTGACAACATGAAAACTGTTGGATCTCACCCTCCATATTATTCAGCCCTTTCACCTACCAACTACCATTTTTTCTGACATCTGGACAACATTATGCGACAAAAAAAAATTGATCAAAAGTCATTAGGAAATTCATTTTCAGAATTTGTTAATAATAAAGTCTCAAAATTCTATTCATAGGGTTTAGATAAATTGCCTTTACATTGGGAAAAGTGTATTGAGGGTGATGGGGGGTATTTCAATTAATAAAAAATGTTTAAAATCATTTCATTTTATAACCATTATATCAAGTAAGAATCATCACAATGTAAAGGCTGTAGTATTTGATATCACAGTCCCAGAAGACATATATATATAAATACTTTTTTTTAAATTAAATGTCTACTATGGGTCATTTAGGCCGGCTTCTTGATATTCAGTTAAAAGATGGTGTTGCTGTCAAATGGTTGAATGTGGAGAAAGAAAGAAAGGGAAGGCCAGTCCAGGACAACACAATCTTGTTGACAGACAGCCCAGCACCATCAGAACAGATGTGTAAGCACTCATCTATTTGTGGGATGTGGATAAAATCCATTTACATCGCATTTATTCCATTATGGAAAAGTCCACATCCCCCCAACATACCTGGGGCTAAACCTGCCCGAGGTGCTCACCCATCTGATCTGCCAAGCATCCCCGACCAAACCACAACTCAAGGGCGCACCACCCCCACAAACCAATCCCTAAACTCTTCCTCAACTATCCTAATTCTACCCTTTTTTTAAAAAAGATAGTTCTTACTATCTAAAGTTCTTTTCCAACGATCCAGATTTCGAGCCCTTAGCTCATCGTCAGGTTGAAGGATTTCTAACCACGTCTCTCGACAAAAATTGCAAAAGTGAACCAGCCGATATCCCCGCTTTCAATGAGAAGCTGGTTTTTTAATGGCGCTCAATTTGAATATGTGAAAAGCGGGAATTATAACACAAGTAAATATTTTAATGGTAAATACTGTAAGAAATTAATTATAAATTAGTGATTAAAGATAATAATAATCAACCTGACGATAAGCTAAGGCTCAAAATCTGGATCGTTGGAAATCAACTTAATGTGAGTAAGAACTATCTTTTTTCAAAATGGATTGAACACCACACTCACTCCATCATTCACCATTTCTATCCCAATTCTATTACTATATTTCTTTTACCAACTCCTTTCTTTCTAAAAATTTAAAGAGAAAAACAAGAGGGTGCTATCACCCCAGCATCTCATGCAGGGACTAATCTATTCTTTCTGTGGTATAACAGTAACATGTAAGTATGTGCTTTACTGTCAATTCCTCATTACATTTCGAACAGATAGTTGGGGCTTCCTTGGGCATGTATCAATCTTGTATGTCTGATCCTGAGTCTGCAAAGAGCCGAACCCCACGGGATGCGTAATGAGTGCCACACTAAATAATAATATCAATTTTATTAAAAATACAAATATCACTTTGTTATTTCATAACATGCAAAAAATTATAAATCAAGTCACCTCTCCTATTTCCAAAACAAAGGCTGTACTTTTTGCAAAAAGGAAACTTCTAGAATGCCAAGACTAATGGTAGGAAACATGTATCATACCAGGTCCCAATTTTGAAAGAAACCATAATTTGGCAATACACTTAAAGACAGTTAAAGCAAGATGTATACGATCATTGAACCTCATAAAAACTGTGAGTTCTGAAATATGGGGTGCAGGCAGACTGAGCTTAATCAGGTTATATAAAGCAACCATGAGGTTAAAAATTGTAACACTTATGCATTAGCCAGTGTTAAAGATGATAGAGCATAACGCAGGCCTCGTACTTGTTTTGGGAGTTTTCTGCTTGAGCTCAGTCAACAGCTTCTACACTGAGGCAGGAGAGCCTCCTCTTTCAATATGCCGAGCATTTCTGGATGCTAAGTGTGCAACGGTTTGGAAGTTGAGATGGCAAAACCTCTTGAGGAGAGATGACTCGATTAGTTTTATGCACGTTATGAAATAACAAAGTGATATTTGTATCTTATAAAATTGATATAATTATTTAGTGCTATACAGAATAGTGAGGCACTCATTAGGCATCCTTGGGGTACACCATTTTTTTGGGTGTATTCGGCAGGCAAGGAGTTATCGCATCTACCTTGAACTGTGCTCTAAGAAGTTTTGTAGAAACATAAGCATAAGCTATCTAGCCCTGATTCTTTTAAATTGCCTAAGATTATCCATCTCTCTACAAAAGTGCTTTCTATAACGATGAATATTGCAAGGACTTTTTTTGTCCCCAGAAAAAGCCTCGGAAATGTAGGAGTTTAAAAAACAAGATAATCTCTAGTGCTTCTCCCTCCCAATGGTAATGTGGCTATTGGGGGAGCAGTCCTTTAGTTTCAAGAAACCAGTTCAGTCGATTCCCAATCATTTTTTTCAAGCAATTTACATAGGGACCTTGAGACATATAAGGCGATAATTCTTTACATCCAAAAGATTTTTGTCTTTTTTGGGGATCAGGATGGCTATTGCTTTTGACCAGGGAGGGGAACAGGCAAAATAGAAAATTTTGATTAATCTTTTCTGGAGGAGAGTGCATATTTAAATTTGTAGTTTGAAAAGGGTATATCCATAGTTTCATTTAAGTTCAATGGAGGCTGTTCTATTACATTTTTATGTGATTGAAAAGTAGGAGGAAAAAATGATGAGGATACTGATTGAAGACATGGGGCAAAGATTTCTGATATTCTTGCCGTATTTTCAACTAATTGGCCATTATGTTGGATATAGGATATTGAAAAACTAATTTTCTCTTCCCGAATTCTTTTAATGGCTTTCTAAAACTGAGGGGTAGAAGAGCTAACTTTTTTTTTCATAAGTCCCTCTTTTTGGCTTTTCTTAAGAATGTAATGTGCATTTTTTTTCGCTTGATTGTATAAGTTAATTTGAACCATAGAGGGATTTCATAAAATTTAAAAATAAATAATAATAATAATAATAACCCGCATGGCAGATTGGAATAAGTATGCACAAATTGCCCACCTTCCTAATCTGCCTCTCTACATAGAAGTTGCAATGTTTACGGAATAAATTAAAGCTGCTGCCTCTGAAGCGATTCTAAAAACAGGAAACAGGAAAGTTCATAATTGAGTTCTTTGATGGAATAGGGAATGTGACCTTGTCTGTAGGGTAAAGAAAAAGACTCTAAGTTTCCGACTGATGAAAATTGTCAAAGTTTCATAAATCCAGAGCCAAAGAAGAGTAATAAAGGAAGTCAAACAAAATTCTCTAAAATATTTCGTTTCCAATTTAATACCATAAATATGTAATCCTCGGATATATGAAGGAAGATCAGGGCAATTTCGGGCAAAAGAAAACCCCCCAATTATGCCAATACTTTGTGCAGAAGACATGGTCATAACAGAACCGTTTCAAATTGCTGAGCGTATAGCTCGCCATTTTTAATCTGTTTCTAATTCCAGTTGGTATCGAGCGTTTCAGGAAGTTAAAGGAGGAGGAAGAAAGACACAATTTAAATTTTGCATCTGATGAAGTTCATCTTTGCTACCTCTCCTTTTTAGCAGTTGATCAAAAGAGCTAGTGAGAGATCGTTTTGCCTTCAGGAATATTGCACCTCCAGAAAAATGAGTTAACAATTCATGTCTAAGGTAGAAAAAATAAAATAAAGTAGTATCGATTCAAACTTGATTTTTTTTTTTAAATTTTACCTATTTTCAGTTTGGAACACTCCCCTCACTTTGGCTGAACTGGATCTTGTTCCGAGTTCGGTAAAAGAATCTTCTCCGGGAAGTGATGAAATACATACTCCATGATTAAAAATTTATGTCCAGAAGTAAGGCTTTTGGTATTATTTAATGAAATATGGGGTGTGGGATATTATACTGAAAACTGGCAATGCCCAAAATCGCAATTTAAATAAGAAGAATTCGTCCTCCCTCCACCAAACAAGAAAAAAAAAAAAAAAAAAAAAAAAAAAAAAAAAAAAAAAAAAAGATGAATAAAAAGAAGTGTTATTGTTTTTTATTATTGTTAAGTAGCATTAGTTTATTGTATTTGAATGGAAGATGAGCCTATACTTATGCTGGGACCATTGCTAGTCTGACATTATTATTGGCCATACAAGCCTATGGGAAATGTTTAAATTATGGAACAAAAATTCAAAATTCTAATTAAAGAACAGGAATAAATTTTATAACTTAAAATGGGTTTTTTGCACACATTTGGCCTTCCTAATTAAGAATTTTAAAAGGATAAATTAAAGCTTTGGATGGCAATAGGATAATAGTTAATAAAGGAATAGTTTATGAGTGAATGTTTGGAGAGTAGGATGGAGTCTTGGACTGATCAGGCTCAGATCTATGACAGAAAGTTTACCGGATCTCTCGCAAATGTGGGCTGGGGATCTGTCATTTAGATTATTTACACTGTACTGTATGAAATTTGACTAAAATGGGACTTGGAGCGTTGAAGTCCCTGAGGATTAAGTAAGGCTGAAGAAGTTTTTCAAGTATTATTAATCTGAGAAAAGATTACTGAGTTTTTGATTAGTAAGCAAATTCCTCTGCAAGCAATTCTGCCCTCTTTACATTTTTTTTTCTTATTACAACTACGTATTTTATTTATTTATTTACTTATTTTTTTGGGTTGGCTTCAGTTTCATTTCCTGAATGGCAGCTATCAAACAATTGGTGCTTACAAACACATGTTGAAGGCTGTTGAAATGTCACTAGAAGCCTCTTAAGATTCCACTGAATTATTTTCAGGCAACTACTTATATTACTTATGTATATATATGTAACAAATAACATCAACCAATAATATTAATTTATAACAAATATATAAGAATGAAGTATCACCTTGGATATATTACTGGTAGACATGCTTAGGACTGGTCCGAGTTCATCTTTGCTACCTCTCCTTTTTAGCAGTTGATCAAAAGAGCTAGTGAGAGATCGTTTTGCCTTCAGGAATATTGCACCTCCGGAAAAATGAGTTAAGAATTCATGTCTAAGGTAGAAAAAATAAAATAGTATTGATTCAAACTTGACTTTTTTCACTTTTAATTTTACCTATTTTCAATATTGTCATGTATGTGGCGAGACTGTTTACTTTCGCAGTGGGCTCTGAGGAGCATCATGATGAGTTCGATATGCTCTTTGGCGCCACCCCCTTGGGGAGGCTCGACACCGCTTAGCTTCATCTGGACTACAGCATGTTCCGCTTCCGGAAGCAAGTTGAGCCTTCGATTCAGCACATCTTCCATAGCCTTTTCGTTCAAACCTTCAAGTTCTGAGCAAAGTTTGTGATACCAGACCATAGGGCAGTGCTCGCACGAAGCAATATTTGATTTTTTGTCATTCACCGATGCTTGGCTTATCGCTGAAATTGTTTTATGTTTGTATAAAGAAATACAAATATATTGTTTTAAATATTACCTGTAACCAGATCTTCAGCAACACCTGGGGATTGACACTTGAATACATAGGCTATATAAGTTACCGGCTCTGTTGTCACTTCTTTACAAATAAAAGCCAAATATGAAGGATGTTTCATACCCTTTCACATAAAAGTTTGATTTAATACAAAATGAACTCATTTGAAAATTTATTTTGAAGATTAAATTTACCTGAACGGAACAAGTAATCTCTTTTAAATATTTGTGGAGCAAGACTTGCTTTCTGTCAGGGCTTATGAGTCGCAAATCAGTCCTTCCTACATGAAAGACCATCGTCCTATTTTGTTCTGGTTGAATTATGCCATTATCTTTATTCTAAACGAGAACATTCAAAGGCAATTTAAGGGGCTGAATTCTCAAATCGAGATGTTTTTTAAGTAATAATTTTATATGTATGTAACGAGTGAACTTACAAATAGTTCATGCTTTTTTGTCAGTGTGCTGCCGACTGAACCAGATCTTTTTCTCGTTCCCTCAATACTGGAATCAAGTTTGATTTGAAAATTCGACATTAGACATGAAAATTTCCTGATTAGATACGTACGGTTGCGGGTCACATGTGGATTCAGCTTGGCCATCAGATGAACAGTAAGCATCCCCTTTTTTCAAGTCAACACCATTAAGCACAGTGTGGTCATCATTATTCTAAAATTTATTTCACGTGTAAAAACAGTTTACAAGTTTTGTTTGTTTCTTTCAACTTACATTTAATGAATGAGTTTCATTTTTCTCCTTTTTCAGTCTTTCCAAACTATCAAATTTGTCCAATGCATCATCAATGAATGTATCTGGGACTTTCTTATGTGAAACTTTAATCCTTCCGATATAAAATACCTATAATATTTGGAAACAATTTTTGTACTGGACTTTCTAATAATGACAATTCAAAGTTATGAGTGTTTAATCCATAGTTATACAATGTATTTTTTCTTATAAAATCAAAATTATGACATTTCTCTTTAATTATATTTCACCTTATTTCGGCAACAAAAGAAACACTAGGCTAAACTAAATATAAGTATAAATAAAGATTTTAATTGGAAAAACAGTGATTTAAAATTAGAACAAAAGTAGTTTGTTACTGTCCAAAAGTAGATACAATGATTATAAAGAATAAATAAAGACAAATGAAATGTGACTAAACTCATCTTTCTACGTAAAAATAACTACACTCGGTAGTGATTAATAATAGTGTGTTTCTTGACAGTTCAAAAGAAGATAATTTTAACAAATGTTTTTCCTTTTGTCCAATTGAGTTATTTTCCTGAAATGACTTAAAATTGCTTTCTAGGGCTGTTTCCACATCCAGAGAAAAGAGCTAATTGCTAAATTTTTCCATAATGTTTTGAATTTTTTTTAAAGATTGTGATTTTGGATTGCACAAACATCTTTTGCTTCGATGGTTATTAATCAGTTTCTCAGAACCTGACACTGGTTAAAGGAGGTATTTTCATTATCTATAAAATGGATTATTCTAAAATAGCACAGTTTCAGGATATTATCATCAGGAAGTGGAAAGAAGATAATTTGTTTCTGCTTGATACAATACCAGCTCTTTATCATATACTTACAGACAAAAAACAACAATATAATATTAAAAAATAATAGACTAACAAACAGACACTTATATTTTGTTGGTTATTCATATAATAAAAATATAGTTTGCTATGTAAAATAATATATAATATAAATATATTTTATTGCTATATTACTGTAATTACAACATTGTAAACCAAATAAAGAAGATCAGAAATCCAAGAGTTTAATAAAAATTATTTAATTACAATGGTTTGGAAGAAAATTCACCAAAACACCAGAAACTCGTTTAACAATTTATTACCAGGTTTTACTCTTAATGCATTATTAAGAGTGCAACCAAGTAATAAACTGTAATTAAATTTCTTCCATTAATAAAAGATTTTCTGTGTTGTGGAGAATTTTGTTTCAAACTATCATAATTATATAATTTTTATTAAAACTACTCATGAATTTCTGATCTCGTTTAATTTGATTTAAATTAAACTAGGTGAAAATACATATAGTTTGAAATAAAGAACAAAATAAGAGTGTCTGGTTTTTGTCTTTGAGTGTTGTTAATATTTTACTATTGATATTATGACAATGGGTTATTTTATTATTAAATTTAATATTCTTGTCAGGGAAAATATAATTCTTAAAAATAATACCGATTTTTAATAGAAAAAAATAAATTTCAAACTTCAAGGGGGATAAACATTGACAATTTATAAAATTAAATTTTAAATTATTTAAAAAAAACGACTACTGTCTCTGACCAGTGAATGACCTGAAAAAGCTATCGAATAATAATAAATAAAGAAAATAAACTCACTTCGAAAAAATGAGAAGAAGAAGGTGAAATGTCAGGACAGAGCGAAGTTGTTGTCCTGTTCGTCAATTTGCTTGATTGCTCCTTTATGGTGGCCATCATGTCAAGAATCTGTAAATGGTGAAAAATCTATTAATAAACGTGCCAAGACGTCTGGAAATACAAACTATTAAATTTGATTTCTATTTTTGAAAATTCTAGGAAACAAAGCCTGCCTGGTCTAAAAATGGTGAAAGAGAACGCTGTCGTCGGCACCAGGACACGACCTGGATAAACAGCCAAAATAAGCCTTTTACTTAATCAAATCTTTTCCTCATCGTAAAGTTGGTTTAATTAGTAAAAAGATATTTTTGTTGTTTCGGAAGGCGAACTTTTGACCTCGTCTAAAACTTCCGCACGAACGTTTGTTATTCGAACATCAATCCGAAGAAAAAGGAAGTTTGTACTATTAGGACTATATGGTTAAATTGTTTATCCGAACAGTCTATTCGTTTAAACAAGCTGTATTTTTTCTAATTTTATGGCTGTAGACCGCCGGAATAGTTAGGTTAGAATCAACTACTTAATTTTAGACTAATCCATCTAAATTTGAACACATTTAATTGACCCTTAAAGAGAAGTGTACATGCACGTATAAAAAAAAAAGTTGTAAAAAAATGGAAAATTAGACATTCCATACACTTTTTCACACAAATAATATACAAATGGGAGAATTTTTGAGTGTATTGAATAAAAAATGCTTCAAAGAAAGAAAATGTAATTATAACATAGTCCTTACAAGTAAACAGAGAATAAATACACGCAAAAACAAGAACTGGCTCGTCTACGGTTGTTTCTATGCTAAAAAATCAGTATTTTGAATCAATGTTGTTATATGTATCTTATAAAAACAATAAGATATTTATTTAATTGTTTGGTACTTATCATTCTGGTCTGCAATCCTCGCTGATTTTTGTTGGTTAAGACACGTTTTGGCATTTTCCCATCTTCAGATGGGTGATATTGAAGATGGGGAAATGCCGAACCAACAAAAATCAGCGAGTATAGGCAGACCGGAATGATAGGTAAATATCAAACAATATGTTTATCACCCCGTAGACCACAAGAGGAAATCTCACAATTTATTTAATTGCTGGGCGGAAGCAGTTTTGCATGTTTTCCTGTTGCACACTATTAGTCAGTTCTTGGTAACTTTCAAAATCCAGACAAAATACGATAGCAGGCTGAAAAAAGGCCTGGCCGCGGCTTCCCAAGGGGGTCAATGTCGACAACGTTTCAGCTTCGCATCCTTCAGGAAATATTTTCCGACCGGGTCCGCCGACAAGGGCAAAAAACGGCAAAGACACGTGGATTTACGGGATTATCGGCAAACGTGTACCTCCCTGCTTTCGTGAGATCCTTATGATAATTCTAGTATATTCGTCTACTAAACCAGTTAGTTTTGCTCCAATTTCGTTTGGCACAGGAGCCGTGTTCGGAATAAAGGTGTACCAACTCCGAAAACTCAAACAACTCTGCTCTTATTAGAGAAAACAGCTACCTGCTTTATCTTTCACTTTCCACCACGAAATAACAGCAATGATTAATTTTCTTAAGAAAGGAAAAGGAGGAAAGGAGGAAAAAACCTGGGGGAAAGTCATAAAACAAAACTTCAGATTGGAAAGATAATACTATGACGTTAAAACGTTTAGGAAAGTGTACATTGCGAAACGAAAACACTAATATATGTGTTATACTATACAGTTATATAATTTAAAAACTTGATAATAGTTAACTGATTATCTTAACAATCTGTAATTTAGTCAGTACTTTTGTGAGACTCGTTTGGGATTACGCCATCTTAGTGCAGTGCATCAAGGATATAAGCAGGGAGAGGCACAATTACCCAAATAACCAATACAAACCCACATCTGAAGATACCGATACTAAATATACTGGCACGCGTATGGAGACAGACTATGAACCCGGAAACATTTTTTGCGACATCCTATACACTCTCAACGGACTGACTGACTATAAGGGAGATGAAGGACTCAGGAGAGTATCAGATATAATGATATATTCTATAGATGGCTCCAAAACAAACGAAGGAAACGGATCGGATGTGTTTTGCACAATCCCAAGATGTGAGCAATCAAACTCACAGGGTAGTACACTTCGTCTTTCAAGCAGAAATACATGCCATCAATGCTTGTGCCCTGGAAACTCTTAAAAGAAGTTACACTGACAAAAAAATCCTCATAAGATCAGATAGCCAAGCAGAATAAAGAAAAAGAATCACATCAAAATGAGGCAGTGAATGCATCTAAAATATCCAAAACCTGGGAAAACATAACAACCTCATGATATCTTGGTGCCAGGGCACAAAGGAATTGTTGGTAACAAAAAAGCAGACACACTGGTCATAGGAGGATCTGCAAGACCATACATAAGCCCCGAGCCTACACTTGTGATAACAAAAACAAATACAGAATCCAGCATCGCAGAATGGATCCAAATAAAAAACCCTCACCACCAAGTCTGGCACACTCACTGCTGCAATTGGAGAGGGCTAGACTTAGAGACGTGATAGGAATGAGGAGGAAGAAACAGCCACCCATGTCATCTTCGAATGCGAAGCAACGGCTCTAGGAAGGTACAATAAGCCAGAAAGCTGCAGTGCTCGGGGAGTACAAACCTCGTTTCCTCATCACCATCATCACCGGAACGAGTCTAACTGACAACAACAAAAGTAGATCGAAAAAGTAAAAACGTCAAAACTGCTACTGCTACTACTACCAAAATAGAAAATTAAACACAGTACGCGAAAAGAAATTGGTCCATTCTGGAATAAAAAATATCTGGTTTCGATTAGTCGTCAGCTAACATAAGAGTCAGAAGTTCAGTCATTTCCAATCATCATAGTCCGCCTTGCTGCGTTATTAAGACTTCGATAACGTCATCTTCAGTGCGTACCATTAAGGTGAAGGGAGAGGCACACACGCAAACTCTGAAACGCGTCTGACATCAAAACAAACAGGCTGATCAAGATGATGGAAAATTGTCAAACGATTGATATATGTTCCATTTTTGCAGTTATACAGTTACAATTGGACAGAAAATGAGCAGATTCCTGATGTCGTTTTAAATTATCAGCGAAAATGCAGCAGAATCCTACAAAATAGAGTTTATGATATTTTGTCAAAGGAAAATGGAATAAAATCCAAATCAAATCGTTAAAACTTAATACTCTACATTTAATAGCACACTTTTAATCAAATTTTATGATAATTCCTTCCTAAACAAAACTAGATATAAAATAAATTCAATTCTACCAGTGCAAATTATTCATTTATTATTTTCATGCATTATTATCTACAAAACAAATGAAACTATCTTTAATTTATTGTGTGGTCTGCAAATAGATTAGTTATATAAAGTATTTAATAAAATAAAAAAGATGGATTCAAAAAGCGATTTTCAAGCCTGAAAAGAGTTACGAACATGGTTGTTAATTTATATTTTTTTATTTTTAAATTGTTTTGATATTGATATATACACTAAAATCAAGCAGACTATTCCATTTCTGTAAATACTTATGTTTTTTAAAGTGGTATGTTTTGTTATTGTCGAATAAAGTATTATTATTATTATTATTATTACTATTATTCTACATTCAAAATATACCCTTATAGATCTTCCCTTCCCCAGTTACAACGCTCACAATAAAAAAAAACGTTTCGCCACTGTTTTATCACCAAACTCAAAGTTTACGTACGGTCGGAATTTTTATTGATAGGGTCTATAAACGGTGAGGAAAACTTGCAAAAGATCTGTAAAAAGGCCCGAAGTTAAAAGTAATTTGCACTTACTATTTGTTTAAAACAAAAGGAAGCGTCATTGAATTTACAAAACTGACTGACGAAGGTTTGTATAGAATAATACCTAATGAATTATTTAGCTTTTATCTGTTAAGATTCATTATAATTGATTACTTTTTTAGCACAATCCGTCAAAATAAAAAAAAAAGGATGTAGAATGATAGACTGGCCTTTTTTTGTGTTAATCATAATATAACGAACGGAAGCTACAAACAAACGTTGATAGTTTAATGTAAATGGCGAGGTTGACACAGGAAGGAAGGTCGCATCGTAGACCATGGAGATGGGAGTTTTTTTCTTGTTTTTTACAACTTGATAATGTCCATTAACTGTTCGTAAACAAGCCAAAGGCGTGAACATTTTGCAATGCTTACTAATTTTTGGAAGGTGTTTTCCTGTCGAGGCGTTTATATTGTCGATTCCTTTCAAAATGTTCCCGCTTTCCTTGTACGTTTCTTTGTTTTGCTTGTTGTTGTTTGTTAGTTGAACTAGCCGTGTAGCCTCGGTTATTGAAAAATAGCCATAAAAGAATTACGGCATAAAACTTCTTATGTTGTAAGCCCGCATGTTCTGAAGATGGCGAAATGCCAAAACCCGTCTACTAGCGAGGCTAGGCCGATCATGACAGTCAGAACAACCAAACAATAGATTTTTATGTTGGCTATCATATTCCGCGATTGGTTTTGTGTGCCTGCCTCAGTCATACTACTGAAACGGCTTTTGACTGATCGAAACAGCGAGAGTAGACAGACTCGGATGTCTGTACGACTAAAGTGCTGATATCTCAAGATCTGAACGTTAACGATCATCCAGTCCGCCTCGTCTCGTTGGTTTGCCCGTCGGTCTGTCAGAGGGAATATATAAAAAAAAAACCCACCACTTGATATGCCGAAATGAACAAAAAAAGCGGTCTGATAGCCATAACAACGAACTAAGGCGATCCTAAACCTAACTATACATTCTCTTTTTAATAGTTACATTTCAGTCAATAGCTAATAATGTTTGAAAATATTGTCAATAAATGCCAGTGTGTGTAGAGATTAGTGACCATTAATCGATAGTTATTCAGATATCGTGAGATGCGGTCGGGTGTGATGTAGGTTTCAGAAAAACTTTTTCTTTATCGTGCCAACTTTTCGATCTTTTATTGAGCCCTGAAGATGATCTCAATAAAAGATCGAAACGTTGGCACGATAAAGAAAAAGTTTTTCTGAAACCTACATCACACCCGACCTCATCTCACGATATCTG